GTGCTGGTCGGCACCAATCCTCTGTGCGGAAATCTCTCCACTTTGCCCTCTGCACCCCTGTGGCTGTGCTCTCCTCCGTGGCTCCGAAGCTTCCCCCCTCCGCCACCCACAGTCTCCACCCGCGAAGGGACTTCTCGTGTGTGGAAACCTTTCCTCCTTCACGGCTCCCTCCCACTGGTGCAGGTCCCATCCCTATTCTTTTGCCTTTGTTTATTCTTTTTTCTTTTGCCCTACCCAGGTACGTGGGGAGTTTCTTGCCTTTTGGGAGGTCTGAGGTTTTCTGCCAGCGTTCAGTAGGTGTTCTGTAGGAGTTGTTCCATGTGTAGATGTATTTCTGATGTATCTGTGGAGAGGAAGGTGATCTCCGCGTGTTACTCTTCCGCCATCTTTCCCCGGCCCGCAGTCCCCACAACTGTCGTGGCTTTGGCTGCCGGGGCCCCTCCAGATCCGACAGCCTCAGTAAGGCCGCCCTCCCCTCGGGCTCCGGGGCAGTTCTGTGATGGCGGAGGAAAGAGACCCCAAGCTGGGAGTTCCAGCTGTGCCCTACCTTGTTTTATGAGGCCAGCATTACCCTGATATCAAAGCCAAAGACATCACAAGTATGTATGTACATTCCTAGTAGATACAAAAAATCTTTAACACAATTCTAGGAAACTGAATCCAGCAACATATTAGAAGAACTATACACTATGAACTAATGGGATTTATCCCAGGAATCCAAAGATGATCCAATGAACAATAGCAAACAAAATAATACATCACAGTAATAGCATGAAGGAAAAAAACATGTGATCATGTCAATTGACACAGAAAAAGCGTTTAACAGATGCCAACACCTTTTCATGATAAAAACATTCAACAACCTAGGAATATAAGGAAACCACCTCAATATGATAAAGGATATTTATGAAAAACCCACAGCTAACGTCATTCTTAATGGTGAAAGAGTGATAAAAAACAAGACAAAGATACCTGCTTTTGCCACTTTTATGCAATCCTGTACTGGAAGCTCTAGCCAGAGCGATCAGGCAATAAAAAGAAATAAAAGGCATCCAAATTGGAATGGAAGAACTATCACTATTCACAGGTGACATGTCCTTATATATAGAAATCCAAAAAAATCCACACAAAAAACTAATAGTGCTAATAAATGAATTCAACAATGGTGCAGGATACAAGATCAACACACAAAAATCAACTGTATTTCTATACATTGGGTACTGAACAACTCAAAAAATCCAAGAAATAACTGCATCTAAAATTGCATCAAGGAGAATAAAATACTTAAAGATGAAATTTAACCAAGACCTGTACAGTAAAAACTATGAAATATTGTCAAAGAAATTAACGAATACTTAACTATATTAAAAGATATCACATGTTCACAGATGGATGACTTGATTTTATTACAACAGAAATACTCCACAAAGTGATGTGATATACAGTTTCAATGCAATCACTATCAAAATGCCAATAGTATTTTTTAGAAATGGAAAAGTGAGGCATCAAATTTGCATGGAATTACAAGGAACCTTGAACAGCTAAAACAACATGGAAAAAAAATTTGAAGGTAAACTGAAGGACTCACACCTCCTGATTTCAAAACTTACCATAAAAGCTACAGTAATCAAAACAGTTACTGGCATAAGGACAGACATACAGATCAATGGAACAGAATGTAAGAATCCAGAAATAAACTCACACATGGATGGTCAACTCATATTCACCAAGGGTGTCAAGACCATTCAATGAGGAAAGAACAGTCTCTTCAACCAATCATGCTGGAACAAGTGGATGTCCACATATACCTCATGTCATATAAAAAAATAGCTCTAGATGGATCAAAAATGCAAATTTAAGAGATAAAACTATAAAACTCTTAGAAGAAAACAAAAGGGTTTCATGACCCTAGATTTGGCAATGGTTTCTTACAAATGACACCAAAAACATAAGCAACAAAGGAAAAAAATAGATAAACTGGACTTCATCAAAATTAAAAACTTTGTGAATCAAGGAAATTATCAAGAGTGAAAAGGCAACCCAGAGAATGCAAAAAATATTTAAAAATCATATACCTGACAAGAATCTATCCAGAATATATGAAGAATTCTTATAACTCAACAACAAAAAGACAAATAACTGAATATAAAAATATGCAAAGGAGTTAGATATTTCTCCAAAGAAGATACACAAATAGCCAATAAATGTATGAAAAGATGTTCAGTGTCATTAGGAAATGCAAATCAAAGCAAAATGAGATACCACCTCACATCCACTAGGATGGCTTAAATCAGAATAACAGACAAATGTTGGTGACAAAGTAGAGAAACTGGAACCCTCACACACTGCTGGTGGAAATGTAGAATGGTGCAGCTACTGTGGAAAAAGTTTGGTGGTTCCTTAAAGTTAAAGATAGCGTTACTACATTACCCAGCAATTCCACCGGTAGGTAATACGTAAAAAGAATTGAAAACTGGTGTTCAAACAAAAACCTGTACACGAACGTTCATAAGAGTACTATTCACAGTAGTCAAAAGGTGGGAATAATCCAAATGACCATCAACTGACGAATGTACCACAAAATGTGGTACATCCATACAATGGAATATTATTTAGCTATAAGAAGAACAAAGTATTGATACATGTTACCATATGAATGAACCCTGAAAACCATATGGTAAGTGAAAGAAGCCAGACACAAAAGGTCACACACTATAATGATTTCATTTATATGAAATATCCAGAATAGGTAAATACGTAAATACAGAAAGAAGATTAGTGGTTTCCAAGGACTGAGGTACTGGAAAAAGGGGATGTGACTGCTTAATGGGTATTGGGGTTTTGTCTGGGGTGATAAAAAGTTCTAGAACTAGACAGTGGTTATGATTGCAAAACACTATGAATGTACTTACTGGCAGTAAACTGTACACTTTAAAATGGCAAATTTTATACTGTGTATATTTTATCACACACACAAAAAATATGTTCTAAAGGTTTTCCGATAAACAGTCTTTGAAGCCTCCTAAAACCATAACTCGTTTAGAAATAAATTAGTTACACTGATTTTCTATATCAGGAGTTGACAAACTTTTTCAGTAAATACTTTTGGCTTCACAGGCCTTTCTCTGTTGCAACTATGAACTCTGCTGATGTAGCATGAAAGCAACTATAGACATTAAGTAAGCAAACTGATGTGACTGTGTTCCAATAAAATTTAATTTTCAAAAACAGGGGACAGGCCAAATTTGGCCTGAAGACTGTAGTTGGCCAAGCTGTGATGTATACTATTTTTCTTCACTTGTATTAATGGGATTATTATGAGAAATTGCAAATCTTTTCTTGTCCAGATTTGCTGTATTATAAATTAAAGTTGAATTATATTAAAACAACAAAGCTATATCAGTATAGAAAGTCCATAGTTGCAAAAGGCTTATACTTACTGAGAATAAAACAAATTGAAACTCCCCAAGGCAGAATTGATAAAACCATATTATATTAATAGAAATTTTATGTATACTTAAGCATTAGCTAAATGTGAATTTTAGTGCGAACTACAGATTATCCATAATCTTTTTTAAGTTAATACCATTTTTCCTTTTGACCAACTACAGTGAGAACATCTGGCAGCTAACTTGACTTTACTTCCTTTTTACGACCTTTCTCAATTTTTTAATGAATGTTTGAAACTTTCTAAACCTACTCTTTTCCTGAAATTTATTATGTTTATAACCAGGACTACATAGCTGGGTACTATTTGTTTGTCATTAGTTTTATTTTTTAGTTTGGTTTCTTTAGTCATAATTAAAAGCTCCTTAGAACATTTAAAGGGATTAGAACTAATAAATACTCACTTACTGTTTCATAAACCATTACCAACTTGAGATATTAACAAAAAATAAAATGACCTAGAGACAGAGAGCAAAAGTGAAAAGAGAAACAAAGTGCTCACAGTTAATCTACAAACCATATAATCAGGCTAAAAAGTCTCAAATTGAAAATTTAAGAGATGTTTTTAATAGTATGAACTTCAAAATAACTCTGATATTGAACCCTGAATCAGTGTTTTCCTTCATGGCTCAACTAAATTCTCAAATACCATAAAGCTTAACTCTGGAAAAGCGCAAAGTAAATGAAATCACAAGTGGTTCAGTGGCCTCCATATAGTAGGTACTCAATGTTAGTTGAGTGAAATGATGCTGAGAAATCCATTTTGTCCATGGAAAGTTACGCTCTCTAAAATAATAAAATATCTTTTACAAAATCATATCAAAAAATTTATTATTCCTATCCAATTTCTCAGCTTGGAAAGGATGGAGAATGGGCTAGAAATGATGAGTAAAATTTTCCCTTTCAATTAGTTTTTCCTCTTTCATTATTTACCACTGGCATTTAGCCTAAATAAAAATCCTCTTAGTAAATGATAACCAACATAGATAAAGAAACCTATCTTTCAAATAATTTTATGTCATTTCTGTAAAGAACCTTACATTATAGGGTAATTTCTTTTTTAAAAAAAGTATAAGGTATTTGAAAAAGAAACCACTAGCTAAGTCATTTTAAGTAAAATTCTAATTCTGAAAGAAAACTCTCTTTGTTCTCTGAACATTTCAAAATCAAATATGAAAACCTGACACCCTCAATGCATCATTTGTTCATGTATTAAATACTCCCTGCTTTAGCAACTTTTAAATTTTTATTGTATTAAAAACTACTACTTATCCTTGTTTTGTAGAATAATTATTTTAGCACAGTAAGCATCAAGTAAGCAAGGACCACTGTGAAGTGTGGCTTAAGAGAACATAAAAGACAGATATGATACAATTGGAAAATTTTTGTTGTTGTTAGTTTTAAGTACTTTCAAGCTATTTCAGGCTTGGATAAACATAAGTGAAATTTAAAAGTATCACTGAAGAACTTAACTGTGTATGTAGTAATACAGTGTAGAAAAAAGTCTGCTTTTCCCAAAGTAGTATTTAATCATAGTAACTTAAAGTACTTACTCTAAAAGAGGTGGAAGTATTTCACAATTCAAAACAAAATCTCTGCATTCTGCATTGTCACCAGCAATATTACCAAGTGCCCAAACAGCCTTAGAAAAATAAGAAAAAAAGATTCTTTTATGACAATATCTTAAATAAGATGCTCTCTCTTAAGAATGAGATTTTAGTGTAGAAGGAAAAAAGTGATAGTTTTCAAGATGTTAAAACATGCTAGTAGGAAACAAGAAAGGAAAACTTTAAAAGTACCTTTAATAATATTTTTAGTCAAATTGAAGCATAGGGCATTTAAAAACTTTTTCTTACATGCTAGTGAAATGTTTATTCTGTTCAACAAAGGGATAGTTTGTCTGCTCTGAATCTACATGGAGAGACAAAATAGAGTTGACCCTTGAACAATGAGGGGGTGAGGGGCACCAAGCCCTGCACAGTCAAGAATCCATGTATAATTTTACAGTTGGCCCTCCTTATCCAAGGTTCTGCATTTGCAGATTCAACCAACCTCAGACTGCATAGTACTGTAGTACGTATCTATTACGAAAAAATCCATGTGTAAGTTAACCGCACAGTTCAAACCTGTTGTTGTTCAAGGGTCAACTGTATATCTATATTTAGTGAATCTTCCAATTACCTATGCTAGAGGTTTGCTCCTATGCCAAGGAATCCACTCACTGGGAAGGGACTGACTTGTAAAAGGAAAAAGGAAGGACAGACAAAGCATAGGAAAGGAAGGTAAAGCTAATGTGAGAATTGGCTTGAATTGATGCTTGAAAATAAGTTTAGAGTTAGTCCAGCTTAAATAAATGGTAGTAAAAGATTATTCAAATATTAAATTTCAATTAGATGAGAAATTACACAAATGCAACTGATCATTATATTCTCATTTCAAGCTTTTCATATAAGTACAAAAGTAAACATTAAGTTACTTTTTCAATTGGGAAAATTTTATTTTAACATCTAAAATATGCGTTAATATTTTTAACATCTACTCTAGACCTATGCTTATTGTCTATTTTTTTGAGAAAATTTTTTTAAAGTGATGACATTTTGCAACCTGTGAAGTATTTTGTTGGTGGGGATATAAATTTGTTAACATTTTTGGAAGTCTACTTTGAAATATGTAATAAGAACTTTAAAATTTTTTCTTTGACTGAGTAAAGTCATTTTTCCCTAATGAAATAATCGAGGTACATATATATGTCAAGTCATATTAATATCAAGACTGATATACAATGATGTTCATCACAATATTATTAACACTAATAAGCTAGAAATAACTCAAATGTATAACTATTGAGGAACAGATAAATTATGGTACCTACCTGAATGGATAATGAGTAACCAGTAAAATTTTCTTGGAAGAATAATTAATGCCGTATGCAAAGGCTCTCAATACTAGTGTTAAGTGGGAAAAAAATATACACATAAAAATAAAAATATAAACAAACAGATGGAATGGTAGAGAGATCTAAGATCAATTTGCATGAAAATGATCCAAAACGAAAATATAAAAACATTTGACTTTCTCTGGATGGCAAATTATATGTGATTAAATTTTCCCTGTTACAACAACTATGAGAAAGTTTAATCTAAAATGGTTCATTCAAAATAATGTGATATATTAAATAGAAACAATGAAATAATCTACATACATGCAAAGAACAAGGAATCAGACTGGCCCAGGTTTAAAACCTGGTTCAGCCATTCACTGTGACTTTGGGTAGATTACTAACTTTTCTGGGTTTCACTCAGTATGCTCTTTTATAAATGGGAATAGTAGTTCCCAATAGCTGAGATCCCATGTTTACAAAACCCAGGATTATGCCTAAGACAGTTCATTCTTCCTTCCTTCTAATTTGACAGTAAATAGAAATTATTGTATTCTAATAAATGTACAACACAGGCAACTTGGTAAAACTGAATTTCAAATCATAATCGCAAATGGTACTTTCAAGAGAAAGTTAAAATCTAGTAGATATAATAGGTCAAATTAGAAACTTACCTGTTCTTGAACATCTTCATGCTCTGAATTAAGAAGTTTGATAAAAATTGGAACAGCCCCAGTTTCAATCACTACTTTGGTATGTAGAAAAGTTCCAGATGCTATATTAGTTAATGCCCATGCAGCTTCAAACTAAGGAAAAATAAAAGAATAAATGAAAGCACCCAAAATATGTCAGAAAGGGGAAGAAAGGAAGAAGAGAGGGAGTAAAGACTTAGCTGAACAAGTCGGAGAGAAAAACTTACGATTAATAAGATTTAATGGGAAATCAGATTTGATAGGTAAAAATGCTTTATTTTAAAAAAAGGACTCTTCAATCTGGAAAAATAAGAACTGAGAAGAATATAATAAAATTTACAAATCATGAGCAATAAATGAACACATTTGAATTTATAATTCATAAAACTCCTAATGTTTACAATTAGGGAGCCAGGTATTCTAAAGCAAGCAGCGCAAAAATAAACGAGACACTACTTAATAGAGTAATAGTATACCTATGGAACTTAGCATCATAAAAGGTATTTTTGTTTCCCTAGGCATCATCTAGTCCTAACCTCCTCACTTAAGAAATAAGAAAATTATAAGTCCAGACATTTAGGTGATTTGTTCAAGGTCAAAGAGTTCATTATTAGCAGATATCTTTTAAAACATGTGCAGGCCAAACAAAATTTGTTTGTGGGCCAATCTGGCATGTAGGCCCCCAGTTTGAGGCCTATTAGATCAATGTTTCGAACTAGCATATTTCATATGAACTTGGATATGGAACAGCATATAGCTGCCCCAAGAGCATACTGCTGAATTTCATTAGGTTTCAAGTATAATGATTAATAAACACTCAAATCCCCAATATTCTTCTTGAATACTGCATGCTCTCTGCACATGTTATTCTCACAACCTGAAATTAATGTTCCTTTTTTCAGCCTGTTAAACTCTCATTCACCCTCAAGACTAGCCATGTGACACTACTAAACCAAAAAAACCCAGATAAGTTGCCATGTTCTCTGTGCTCCCAAAGCACTCTATATATTGTTTTGCTAGCACTAACTGTACTATGGTATCACAGATCTGTTTGTGTGTTTGTCTCCCTCAACAGAGTGAAGAATTTCTGCAGAGAGGGATAATATCTTACTCAATTTTTTAACTACAATGCCTTATACAATGTATTGCTTAAACTAACACTCAATTTTATTCATTCATATTCACTCATTTCTTCTTTCAATCACTTAGAATTAAAGAGCCAAATAAAAAACTAGTTATCAGGAGGCTTAGGTTTTAGTCTGGACTCAGAGCTTATGAATAAGGCAAATGGACTAGATCATGATCTCCCGTCCTTTCAGCACTATCACCTAAAGACTCTGAACACTAATTGACAATAAGACTATACTATGGATAAAAGGGTCTTTTCCTCAGACACCCTTGTTGTAAACATTCTCAACAATTTTTCAGCATAAAGCTCATGATGGTTAATAGTCACAGGTTCAACACATTCCTTTGCTTATACCTAGATGTGAGGAACTTTCCCAAATTACTCAGATAAGTGGAACACAATTCTAAGTTGTAATTTCAACAACTATTACTCAAATACTAGTAAAAGTCCTCCATGACCAACAAGAGCATTGAGAATTTTTTAGGTGTAGGTCTTGTGCAATTCCTGATAGATATAATTCCACCCTGTACACTTACTTAAGAATATTTATAGCAATGAAAGTCAGGAAGAACAATCTTAAACAGTAAAATACCTGCAAACTTCAGTAATTTACTACTAGTAGCCAATTATTTGGAAGACATCTTAAAATTTTCACTATAGTATAACTGAGAAGCATGCTCTTTAGGACAAACTTAATGTTGGTCGCATTTTAAGTAGATTATACTGATTCGTTCTTTTCTCAAAAAAAGAACTAATTAATCAGAAAAAAATGTTTTAAGAGGTACAAGAGTTTATACTAAAAAGTTACAACTTTAGTTAGCTAAGAGCCAAAAAAAATTTAACCATTAAATTAACATTTTGGTTTATGGTTTTCTAAAACAGAAGTTATTAAAGGTTGACAACTACAAAATTTTTCTTAACATTAGGAATGATTTCATATATTTTTCCCAAAACTGTTTAATTAAATAACAGTTCCTAGAAAAAATTAGCATTGCAACCTTGACCAAGGCAAGACATGTAGCACCCCCTTTAATTGCCAAGTATTTACTGAATGCTTACAATATACTCAGTACTGTAGAAGCTGCTTTCACTAGACACATTAATCCTATGTCATTTCTGGAAAAAGATTAAGAAAGTAAACTACAGAACTCACTTGTAATGTACAATTTTCATTTCTTTCAAGAAATTTCACAAATCTCTGCACAACTCCTGGTTTCTGTATAACTTGATCAATTGGTGGATTAGGTTCTGAAAATTAAAAAATAATTAAGTTATTACATAGACACAAAAACACAATGATCTGGACCCTATGCCAATTAACAGGGCACATAAAATAACTAGGTTTCACTGATCCAGTTTAAAACCCTTAGCTGGATGTAGCTGAAGAAAATAAACGTTCTCATAATTGCAATGTTTACTGCAAAAAAAAAAAAAAAAGCAAATTGTTTTTCATTACCATAATGATAAGAAAATTTTTAAATATTTTCTATACAAATATTTATAATTCATAAATTGAATGCTATTTAGGAGGTCACCTTCACAATATGGGAATATTTCAGTCCAATACTCAAAATACCAATCGAAGGATAAAGTGTCTTCTAATTCTTCATAACCACACTCCAATTTCCAGGGATGTCTCTTTCACTATCAACCACGAATTGCCTAATGTCTTTCAGCTAGATAGGTTCTATTTTGTCAGGGTATTATTTATTATTTACAAAAATGCTATTGAAGTACCTAGAATTCTTGATAAATTCTCATGAAATGCTGAGGACTTTTTTTTTTTTAATGTTTTTTTCTGTTTTTTTTTTTAATTAATTAATTAATTAATTTATTTATTTTTGGCTGTGTTGGGTCTTCGTTTCTGCGCGAGGGCTTTCTCTAGTTGCGGCGAGTGGGGGCCGCTCTTCATCGCGGTGCACGGGCCTCTCACTGTCGTGGCCTCTCTTGTTGCGGAGCCCAGGCTCCAGATGCGCAGGCTCAGTAGTTGTGGCTCACGGGCCTAGTTGCTCCGCGGTATGTGGGATCTTCCCAGACCAGGGCTCGAACCCGTGACCCCTGCATTGGCAGGCAGATCCTCAACCACTGCGCCACCAGGGAAGCCCCCTGAGGACTTTTGAGAATCATAAAAGCTCTAAGAAATTTTAAAACAAAGATATGTAAATTGAAAACAAAGATATTTCTGGGACTTCCCTGGCGGTCCAGAGGTTAAGACTCTGCGCTTCCAAGGCAGGGGGCACGGGTTCAATCCCTGGTTGGGGAACTAAGATCCCACATGCCGCGGGGCGCAGCCAAAACAAAACAAAGATATTTCAGCTCCCAATAATATAAGTACCAAGAATTCTTTCTCCTCCCTTGGCTTCAGCAACAAATACGCTCTTGTGGTTCTCCAGGAACTTCTTCACTGTTGCTCCTTTGGGTTAGTTTTCTCCGTTATTTATTCTCCTCCTAGAAAATTTATTTCTAGGAAATCCTCTCCTAGAAAATCTATTTCTATTTTATTTCTATTTTGCTAATTCAGTTGTCACTTATCATTCACAAATCTAACCCCCGTAAATTCTTCTTTCCTAGATTCTGTCCCACATTTTTAAGTGCTTATGGTTACATTTTTCCCCCACAGCTTCTTTAAAATGTACATAAACAAAACCAAACTCATAATATCAGTATGCTTATTCCTTCCCCTTGCCCTGTACCCACCACACAAATTTGTCTGAGCTATCTGTCCACCTGGTTACACGAGAGAAATCTCATTTCCACTTTTGACTCTTCCTTTTCTTAATTCCTGTTTGAGTATGTTACTGATCATAAATAATGTTTAATAAGTAGAATTAATAAATGAATGATAACCATAAAAGGTCTACAAATCCTGCTTGTTTGATACAGAAAAACCTTATTACTAAGTTTTAAGTCAGTTTAAATCTTAGAAATCGTGTTCTCAACTGTTAAGAAAGATTTATTTAGGAATGGACTTCTTGGTAATTCCCTGGTGGTCCAGTGGTTAGGACTCCACGCTTCCGCTGCAGTCCGCACGGGTTCCATTCCTGGTCGGGGAACTAAGATCCCACAAGCTGCATGGTGTGACAAAAAAAAAAGAAATGGACTTTTTTCTTCCTTTTCTTCTTTTTTCTACAAATCTGCTATCTTTCTAACTTGCTCAAAAATTGGGAGATTTCTGCAAAATTTGTAAAGTTAAAACTATAAAATTTTGTTTGGGTGTTCTAAATGAAAAGTCTGGATTCTTCAAAATGTAAATTCCAGACCATAGCTTAAACTGTTCTTATAGTTATAAAACATCAACAAGATAAAATAATATATATTATTAATGCCTTTATTCCCATCTTAAAAAAAATCAAAACAAAGTTATTAGGTTGTGGTTACCATCTTTACCTTCCAGTTCTTTCTCTTTTCCCAAAAGAAAATTCTAAATCTACTTTCCCCTTATTTTTGTAAAGGACAAAATTTTGTCTTGCTCTTTTTGAGCAGAGAAGAAAGGGGAGGTTGAGAAAAGGAAGTAAACATAGAAAATTGGTTTTCTAGTTAGAGGGTGGGGAGAAGTGGGTATTGAGACTACCTGAATATGTAGATAAAGAAATATAGACAAAGATATAAATATATAGATATATAGATATATAAATTTAAGAACCCAAATATGATCTCTTCCTGGGGAATTACTTTACAGTTACTTTCATCTAAAAGAAAGCAATTAAAGTGTGCTTGGATCATCAAGTAATCTAACAAGTATCATGAACTTTTAACTTTTACATTGATATTATACTGACAGAATAATAGCCTACCTTATCTTATAAAGGTGATGAACTATTACAGAGAAGACTTAGTCAATATGGCAATGTAAACATAAGTAAAATAGAGGAATATCTGCTTCAGCACTGAAGACTAATCAAGAGTTATCCACAACAAAAAAGCCTTGGAGAAACAAAACTGGGATTGAAGAAAAGAATAATTTGTGATTCACATCTATAAGAGTGGCCATGATAGGGAAGTAAATAACAGATTCTAGCAAAAGATCACTATCATGACAAATCAGAGGAGTTCTATTATTTCTATTTCTAGCTCCAGTTCTAGTTCTAGCTCCTTCCCCATATTTCCTACAGTGATGGATCAAGGAAAATTATAGTAAATCTAATATTCTTCTAGACCTAAAATATTTGGCAGGAACTCACATCAATCAGCAAAAGAAAGTATCTATAATTCCTGACATATGCCCAACCTGGGCAAGCATAATCCCACTACAAGAAACAGAAAAATCATTGAATCTATGAAAAAGATACTATATTTTAAAAGACACAGAACACCCTGAGGAATTAGGAATGAAGATAAAATCTTATGACTAAAGAATTCAATAATGGGGAAGTTGTGGTGTAAAAACTGGTGGCAAACTCTAATATTCTTAAATACAATTAAATCTAAATTAATTCTGTTAATTGGTTATAACATAAAACATATGGCAAAAAGAAATCTTAAAAGAGAATATGGTAATGTAAAAATTATTGATGTGTTACTATTAATACACTTAACTTATTTTTTAAATTAATGTTTTAATTTATAAATATTAATCTGACTAAAAAAAATCCAAATTAAAAAAACAAAAACTGTGGAATATGGTGAGGAAGAGGAAGCTACTCTTGATTTTATAGGGTCTCCTAACATTGCTAAGCTACTTTTGCTTGGAAGATAAGGGATGGAAAAGGAAAATTAAAGGTACTTATGAAAAAGAACTACAATAAGAAAGCAAAGGTAATAGCCTGTAATCTGTGCTGAACTGAACACAAGATTTCTTTTATTCCTCATACGTTACTAAATTTTGTCTTTCAGGAACATACGGCAGCTAGCCAAGGGCAATTTCAAAATCTTATCAGTTCATGTATACAGCTCAATATAATTAGAATTACTAATCCTATAAATTCCATGTATGAAAGATGAGATAGACTAAGGGTTAAATTTTTACTTAATAAGGAATTTTTATAAACTCAATATAATATTGGATAAATAACATAAATAGGCAAATTATAAATTATAAAGGTCAATAATAAAAAATATTCAACTTAGGTGCTCAAAAACTGCCACACTATAAGCACTATTATATAACCATCTTTTTCTTTTTTAAAGATAGCTGTGTTGGTAAGAATATAGTGAAATGAATATCTGCACAAACTAAAGATGGGAATGTAAATTAATACACTGTTTACTCCCTTTGACCCACGATTTCACTTTTATAAATTCATACTAAGGAAGCTTTAGGTTATACAAGGATTTATGTAGCTTTGCTTATGATAATCAAAAATTGGTGAATCACTTTGCTGTATACCTGAAATTAACACAATATCGTAAATCAACTATACCCCAATATAAAATACAAATTAAATTTTTTAAAATTTGGAAAAAAATATCTGATTGATTGATTATTCATTTTACAGTCATGCTCTGATGTTATGCTGCCATTTTAAAAAAATGTCTGAGGGCTTCCCTGATGGCACAGTGGTTAAGAATCCACCTGCCAATGCAAGGGACACGGGTTCAAGCCTTGGTCCTGGAAATTCCACATACCACAGAGTAACTAAGACCGTGCGCCACAACTACTGAAGCCCACTGACCGAGAGCCTGTGCTCCACAACAAGAGAAGCCACTGCAGTGAGAAGCCCACACACCACAACGAAGAGTAGCCCCCTGCTCGCTGCAACCCAACACAGCCGAAAATAAATTAATTAATTAAAAAAAAAAAATCAACTGATTTTGACCACAGATGTATGGGTTTATTTCTAGCCTTTCAATTTAAAAAAATTAAAAAAATAAAAATTTTTTAAAGTCTGAAAAATATTTCTACAAGAATTTAAAAATATGTATTTCTAACTTTCTTTCTTGGCAATGGGACTAATTTGGGACTATATTTGCTTCTTTAAATCCTTTTATACTTGCAGATATTCTACAATCAACATGCGTTACTTTGATAATATAATGTTTAAAAAAGAGATGTTATTTAAAAATATATTTTAGAGAAAAATTAAGACCTACTGGCAAAGAAAGTGCCTTGAAATAAAAAAAATATAATAAATAAAACTGTACTACAAATTCTTGTAACATCAAATAAGCATACTGAAAATAATTCTTGCCTTTAGAAAGCAGCTTTCTAAATTTCTGTGTTGCTGTTAGTTGTTGATCAGCATTATTAGAAAAAATCATCTGAACCATATCTGTGGTAATAACTTCTTCCTAAAACACAGAAAATACAATTGTTATTTAACTATTTTGCATTAGTAATTTTGCTGTATCATCTCTGTAATACTGTTGAAATATAATTTGAAATACGTTTTTGTAATATCTACCTCTGGAATGGGTACGGTGGAACTGATATCCGGATCCTGGATAGGATTTTCTAACATAGATTCATCATTTCTGGGCAAAGAGACATTTCGGCGTTTGAATAACTGTAATAAAGAGAAATAACAATATATTGAGCTTTCCATAAAATACTAAATTCCCATAGAATTATATTTTTCCTTTACTAAACAAAACAATAATTTTATCATCCAAAATTCTGAATATTTTAGCATTTCTTAATCATCATACCATAACAAATTTATGAGTAGTTTTGGGGCTAAATTAGCTCTTGTTCTGTAGACTGCTTCTTAATCTCAGGTCTTTCACCAACGTCTAGTAGCATAAGCAGAGTACACATTTATATTTTACAGCACTTGGAAAACCACATATGCTTAAACTAAATTATGAGATGTCTAAGAAGAAAATCTTAGTTAAAAAGCATATCTGTTATATGAGTGAGATAATGTGGTATATTAACAGAGTTAGTATATTAGATTAAAAAGGAATAGAGAGCAGCTCTCAGGAAAGAGGGCCCTATGCTTATTAACTCAAAAGTGAATATAAAGAAATAAAACAGAGGAGGAAAGAGACATGGTCAGGTCACTGAGAAAGATTTATAGGTACATCTCATAAATCAAAATTGACGAAAAAAATCTGGTATCACATACTTTTTGATAGCTAAATAAATTCTGCTGTTCCTCAGTCTGTACACAGTTCTCTTTCTATTCATTTATTCAAGAGATTTTTTTTTTTTGAGTACCTACTGTAATATAGTAGGGACTATGTTAGCTACTACAAATAGGGGAACGACAAATAGTCATATTGCTAAAACAGGCCTTTTTCTACTTTCTTCATTGCTGGTCCTTTTTACACATTAGTTTTAATTCATGTATGTGAGGACCATACCCTCCTAATTATTTATGAATACTTCTAAATTTAGGTATATCCTGGAATGAAAAATGTTGAGATGCATTCTTTTAATTTTTCTATTCCTTATGTCACATATATAAAGTTCAAACAGAGAAGGCTAAGAGGTCTGCCTGATAGACTATAGGAGGAACAGTATGAATAGCATAGGAAAACGATTATAATTAACTTAGGGGCAAGAGCTATGAAAATCATAAAGCAACAAATGAATACAATTAACGTTCTTTTAGGGGGCAAATTTTACAATGACAAGTAGAAGTGATCTAAATAGGCTCAAGAGTAAAGATTTCTTAGCACTGGAGCAGAAATATTAATGTAAAAGGTTTATCAATGGAACGGAGAAGCCATTCTTGTTGGTGATTAAAAATAGCACAGGCTTCTGATTCGTGAATTTGCTAATATTATTACTGGAGCCTAATAAACTAAAATATATATTTACCCATATTCAATTTCCTAAAACATTTTTTTCATTTAAAATTATCTAAAAATTAGCAGCAATAATAATACTACTTCTAAACTCTTTATATAATGTTTTTATCTTAACAGAATTAAATATTTTAAAACACCTACCTGTTCTTCCCTTTTTTGTTTTCGAAGCTGTATTCCTTCTTCTTCTCTTCGTCTACGCATCTCTTGGGGATTTAGGGCTTTATTCTTATAACTTTTCATTCTATAGTTATCTTTCCCTGGACTAGCCATGGCATCTTAAGATTAGGAGAGAAGAAAACAGATACTGATAACTCTCAAAACAACACAAGATGTTTACTCTAGGGCAATTAAATTCAGGCTCATGGATTAAATAGACCAACAAAACCCATTCTGAAAATTATGTACAAAGAATACATTTCTTCACCGCCATATCAAAATTGGAGCAAAATGACCAAATATTTTAGAACTTAACTATCAAATAATAGATTTTGGTCTAAACACAAAGTCATTACCCTAATTCCACTGATTCTGAGATGCACTCCCCCATCCGTGGTATTTTAAACTTTCTGTAAGTGAGATGCATCTTAAAATTACTGTCAGCCAGGAACTAATCATGAAATAGTTGGGTAAAAAACTTCTAAATTCCAGCTTATGGAAAGATCAAGAAATAACCAGCAATGAATTGTCTTATTTTCAATAAAATATGGTATCAGGCTTCAGTAAGCACACCTCACATATTTATTGGGGTCTGTCTTCTTTAATTTACTTAAGGCACTGCCTAAAGAACTAAAGCCACACAGGTCATGACCTGAGTTATGACTGCCTTACCAGTTTTCAGTACTAGAGTATAATCAGTTCTTTTAAAATACTGAAATACTTCTACTTTATTTTTAAGTAGTTTTATTATAAATGTTTTTTAAAAATTAACATTTATATAAACATTTTTATAAGTATATTTAAAATATATATTTTATATAAATATAAAATTGTATGTTTGAATATATATAATAGTTTTAGAAAAAGAATTATAAACACTTCTTAGTATTATATTAATAGTTTGGTATTATTGGAAACAAATACAAAATTACGAATACTATAACCTATCCTGCATTTACACATTAAAAAAAATCAGTCTAAAGCACGGTTTCAATTTGAATTTAATATGAGAGATAATTAATGCCTATATAGAATGTTATTCTGATAAATTCTGATGACATACCCATGTATAGCCAGAGAGAATGCTGTAATCAATTAGCACTTATGAAGTAAACAGGAGAGGAGGAGAGATGGGCATTTATATGCTGTCCCTGATATAGAAGAGCTAGATTAATGAACTGGCAAATTATATTTTAAGTAGTAAAGTACACTAAAACATAAGCATTAAATCCTGCGAAAGCACAGAAGACACAGAAACTAACTGTGCCTTAGGGAGTTCTGAAAGTTTTCCCAGTTATCCTGTCTTAAAGGATGAGCAAGAATTTGCCAGGGAAGAGGATGAAAGGGGAAAAGGAAGGGAACAAGTATTTCAGACAGAGGGAATATATGTAAACACAGAATTCATGAAGAAGCCTGGCATAAACATGGAACAGTAAGAAATCAAGTGTACCTGAACAAGAGGATGCATGGGAGAAGGGGCAGGAGATAAAGCTGGAAAGGTAGGTAACAAAACATATGCTTCCTGCAATCTGGTTGAGAAATCTGGACTTGATCCTAAGGAATAGAATTAAAGAAATTAAAGTGAAGGTTGTTTCAAGCTTTGATGATAAAGACCTAAACTATATTAGTAGCTGCGTTGAAAAATATAGAAGACAGATTGATTCCAGAAACATTTCAGAAACTGATTCAATAAGAATTAGAGGCCAAATGAATATAAGGAATATGCAGTAAGGAAGAAAAAGGAGTTGAGTATGACTCCATGGTTTTTAGTGTGAGCCATTTCAGTATAAGGACAAAATAACCCCAAATAGGGAATACCGATAAAGGAACAGAGTGGTGGTTTTGTTTTCTTGCCTCCATGTTTTTGAGATGAAAATAATGCATTCAATTATACAGCAAAAATCATTCTTTCAGTACTATGAATTTGACAAAATGCACAGGCATATAACCAACACAGTAAGATACAGAACAGCTTCATAACTCCCCCCCAAAACTTCCTCACGCTGCTCCTATTAGTCCTTCTCCCACTCTTAAAACCTGACAACCACTGATTTGTTTTCTACTTCCATTGATCTGCCTGTTCATGAATTCCACATACATGAAATAATAACAGTATGTAGTCTTAATTGGCTTCTTTCATTTAGCATAATGCATCTATATAAGTCATCCATATTGTTGGCATGTATCAATAGATTATTCCTCCTTATCGCTGAGTAATATTCTATTGTACAGATATACCACAGTTTATCCATTCATTTACTGAAGGACATTTAGGTTGTTTCTAGTTTAGGGCAGTTATGAATATATCTGTTATAAACATTCACGTACAGGTTTTTGTGTAAAAGTAAGTTTTCATTTCTCTCGGGTAAACACCTAGGAGTAGGATTGATGAATAATACAAGCGTATGCTTCGCATTTTATAAGAAACTGCCAAACTACAAAGTAACTATAACATTTTGCATTCCCATTAGCAACATATAAGAGTTCCTGTTACTCTGTATCCTGGCTATACACTTGGTATTGTTAGAATGTTGTTATTGTTAATTGTAGCCATTCTAATGGTATACAGTGACTTTTAATTTTAAATGTGTTAAATTTACAGTACATAGGGCACAAACAGAAAGTTTTTATTTATGGATGGTTAAAAATGAGTCAAAACTTAGGAAAAGAGTGCTGAATGATAACCCAAGAGCATTAGAGCTATAAAAGAAAGATGCCCAAAGGAGAAATCTTAAGGATATTCACATTTCAGTGGAAAATGGAAAGAGCAAAGGAAACCAAAAATAAATAGGAGGATCAGAAGAAAATAAGAGTCATGAAAAAGAAGGGAATTCAAAAGATAAAGGAGTATTTCAGTTGTAGTAGCACTAAAAACAGGTCACCCAATTTGTTCATTCATTGATTTATCCAGCAAATTTAAGTGCCTACAATAAGCCAAGTACCACAGGAAGGAAGCAATAGATTTGATAATTAGGTCACTGGTAAAGATATTGAGAGAAATTTCATTAGTGGTGGAGCTAAAGAGTGAATGGAATGGGCTGAGGACTTCACAAGGATTTAAAACTTTGTGCTTCTGAACTTTTATTATTGACTTTCTTAATAATAACAATGTTTAGCATTATTCTCTACTTCATATATAAATATTCTGTCACATTAATAAAAGCTTAGGCTCTTGGAAGGGAAAAACAGATCAGAGTTCATGACAGAGCAAACTGGGCTTCAACATTAGTTGCTGAATTATGTTCAACAGTATAAAATATCTTAGCAAAATGAAATGTTTGCAGCAATAAACCTCTTTAATATACTTACCACCTATACATTAGGCATCTTATCTTCTAGGCCACTGGCCTCTAAACTTTTTGATCACATATCCTATGTACACAAAATACATTTAGGAATTCCACGTACAGAAAATACATTTGAGAATTCATCCTCAACATGTTTATTTATATACATGTATTACTAGCTTAATAAACTATCCCATTATAAATTCACAGATAGAAAAGTTTTTTTAAAAACAGAGTAGTTTTAAAAGGTAAACAAACAGAAGTTCTAATATTTTCTCCCCACATCTGATTGAATCACCTTGTGCCTCCCAACACACACAGCAGACACTACTCCTTAATACCATCAGTCAGGCAATGACATTAAAACCTTTCAATATAAATGTTAACCAAATAAAATCTAGCCCCAACAACTCATACATCATTTGTTCCTTTTTCTTCTGTAGTACTAACTTCCTGTCTCTTATTTAACATCTGCATCCTCACTGCAGTTGCTTCAAAGGGGATGTAAAGTTCAAGGAAAATGATCTTTAAAGGGGCCTCACCCAAGGGGATTGTTTCTTTCTCTGGATTATAGCTTAAAAAACTACGGTACTTCAAAGGCTGCTGTCTCATACAAGTTATTTTAAATATAAGAAATGCTATTCAAACACTGTAAAGTTGCCAGAGGAATTTTTTTTCAGTTGTAAGCGTATTTTTTCACTCTCCTCTTTGAAAAACTGCTGACCTTGGGCAAACAACTGGAATCCGAACTTTTTCTAATATATATTAATGGAATTTCTTGTCTCCATAAAGCCTCCATTTCCAGGGACTAGGGTGGCTGTTAGTAAAATTACAATATCAGTACAAAGGGGAAAGTGCACCAATCAGACCTAAAGGACAGAGCCGTTTGTTTACCAAGAGGGAAAGTCATTTTCTTACAAAATATAAATCACTGAATGTTGTAATTAAGAGACCTCAAATCAGAAGTCTTTTTTTTTTAAAGGTGTTCAAAAAGCCTAAGAGTTAATGCCCATATCATATTCTTTTGAAGTATCACTATCCCGTTTAACAGCTTTCAACTCCTTTCATCTCTTATGCATTATCGAGGAGACACGATTAAATTTTCATCTTGGAAGTGAGGTGGCCGACTATTAGAGAGAAGCATCTAAGAAGCCACGCTCGCCCGCGTCAGGACTGAGCCCTTCCCGGCACCTGCATCCAGGTGGAGGGCAGCTCGTGGAGGTAGAGGGTGCGACCTAACATGTGTAGGCCCCTGGGACCGAAGCTGCCTTATTCTGGACACGGTGAAACTTCTAATAAGCTGAGCCGCGGGACAGACTGCTGAGCCCCAGAAGTGACAGGCAACGTTTGACAAGACCATGTACCAAAAAAAGGAACTACCGAGAAACAGTGGGGCAGAGCGGCGATAGAATGAGATCCTCTGCCTTAAGCTCCTTCAGAGGACCAGCCCGGCTCTCGGAGAGGCTCAGTGCTCCCCGCGACTTCGCCTCCTCAAGAGAAAGGTCCGGCTGCCACGCCCCCGCCACCGCTCTCTCCCTCTGGGGAAGCTGAGAAAATCCCCGCTTGGCCTGGTTCTGAACCCTTTGTAGGGGAAGGGGTAAATCAAAACAGTGGCCTCAGGAACTAGTAGCTCCCAAAGGGACCAAACCCGAGGCTCACCCAACCTGTCCAGTGTCACTCCTACTTACCTATTAATGTGGCACTATCCGGCGCTCTGACTTTCCAGTCCCCAGCTGCGGCGTCTGCTGCGGTAACAGCGGGGTCACCACTCCGCCCCTAGCGATGAGTCTGAAGACCAGGCTCGCAACTCAAGATGGCGGCCTCCTGCGCCCCTCACCCGAGACCCCAAGGCTCGCCTCCCAGAAGCCCTTGCACGCGGCGGCGGCGGCGGCGGAGGCTGCGGCACTGACCAGCAGAGGGGGCGGAGAGAAGTGGAAGCCCCAGCGGCACCCACCCATTGGGGAGCCGGCTCCTGCCCGGACTCCGGGATTTTAACCCGGCGCGGTTGCCGTTGCAGGAGTGTGTCCTACTGCCCTAGTCCTCCGTGCCAGCTCTCAGTCTTTCATTCACTCATTCGTTGGTTTGCTCACCCATCCATCCATCCACCCATTCATTTGTTCATTTTACAACGTGGTATATTGATGGAGGGCATAATCTGTGCCAGGTATTGTTTGATATTGGAGGTACAACAGTGTACACAACGGATAAAAATCTTAACCTTAATGGAGCTTTATTTCCTTCCTTCCTACATTCTCTGCTCATTTGTTTCAAGCGTTTCAGTTAGCTATTTATTTAAATTTTTGTATTCTGTAACATCTGTGGATTTTTGACAAAAAAGTAGTCACTGATATATGAAATAAATAACTCCAGATAAAGTACTCTAAATTATTATAACACATATATAGCCTTGTAATCCACCCTGGGGTTGAACAAGCAGTATTGAAAACAGACTGTTTTCTACATGTAGTGTTAGGCACAGAATATGCAAGATAAATAACACTATTCCTTCCCCGGAGAAACTCCTGTTTTCCATCTCTTGTTCTTTTTGTTCTCTTTTCTGAGAAATTTTTTGGGTTATCCTACAGCTCTCCATTGATGTCTTTTTTAAAATTCTGCTATTGTATTTTTTAAATCCCAAGAGCTGTTTCATATTTTTAATTCAGGGATCAAGATAGCGTTATCTTGTAACCTTGAGGCAAGAACGTGTCTTTGTCATCCTCCATAGCTCTGAGTTTGGCACGCTGTAGCATTATAAGCCCTTTATTGATAACGTAATAGAGTGCTACTCAGTCAGGCCCTGGATAGTGGGTATTGCGGATTCGTGTAATGCCTTAGGACCTGCCCTCTCCTCGTAAATTAGGCGTTGGAACCTTGTCGGGAAGGTGCAAAAAGACTACGACTCCCAGAATGCACTAAAACCCAGATCGGCGTGGAGCGGTGCATGCTGGGAGTCCTTCCCTTCCGGGGAATAGAAAAAGAGCTTTTTTGAATTCGTTCCTGGAGGCTGAAGCTTTTCGGAGTCCCTGGTTCTCTTCTCGGTTCACCGTGAGTCTCTGGAGAAAGAGGGCCTGCCTCAGTCTTTTAGGCCGGGAAAGGTAATCGACCCCGCGCACGCACTCCTCTACCCGCAAGCCGGACGGCGTCAGCCGGGGGATCCGAAGAGGAAGCCAAGCACAAGGCAGTGTGGCCGGCCTGTGGCCGGCTCTCCAGGCCGGTAGGAAGTGACCGTCCAGCCCTGGTTCCCTGGGCCCAACGCTTTGACCCAGTTAGTATCGGGGCTGGTTTCCTGTCCTGGCCCGGGACGCTGGCATGGACCCTTGGGTAGGCTCCGGCACCTCTCGCCGGCCTCCGTACATCTCTCATCCCCTTGTTGTGATCTAAGTGTTAGGGAGTTGAAGCGTATCCTGCGTCCAGCTGTGTCCCAGCCCGGGGAACGTAGAAACTTCTCTGCGTGTGACGTTCTTCCCACTGGGGGTTTGGGAGAATTTTCATCTAAAATCAGAGACTATTTTCACTTACCTGAAGGGAAATGGAAAAAAGGACAAAGTTGGGAGTTCTTAGAAAGCTACATTTATTTAAATGATGGGAATAATTTCCTTATTTTTCATTTCCTGTTTGTTTTCTGAATAGTTTTTAGCTGAACGGTAGTCTGTAGTAGAAAGGTTGTGATGGTGATTGCTTTTTGAAAATTACTTTTAGCAAAATCACCTTTGTGTCAGTAGCCAGTACTTTATTTGTCCGTAAAACCCAGAAATGACTTGATTTAGTACAACTCGTTTTGTAGAACGAACCTCAAAGAGGTGAGATGTCTCACCTAAAATTATGAAACCTGAGATTATAATCCAGTTCTCTTTGACTCTGGAATCAGTGCTGTTTTCTGTTATGCTCACTCTGCTTTTATTTCTTTGGGTGGAGAGTACAGCCTCTGGAGCGTGACTGGGTTAGCATTTTGGCTAACCATTTTCTGGCGCTGGTGACATATCTGAGCCAGGGTTTCCTCCATATAGAATGATAATAATGATGCCTGAATTGGTTTGATACATGTAAAGCTCTTTAACTGTTAACTGCTATTATAAAGATTTATTTACCCAATTCATTGTTAATAACTTCAAAGTTTTTTATTTAGATATATCAGTTGGTAAGGTTTCTTCTCTTTGTTTTCTCTTACTTGACTTATTTTACCTGGGCAAGTTTATAAACGTTATTTTTTCTCTACCTCAGTCTAGATACACACTTTTTGAAATTTTTGAAAAATTATTTACTTTAATTTGCATTATTGCCTTTGTTTTATCGAAACCATAAACTTGAAATACAGTAGTGAAATTTTGGTTGAGATTTATAAATAAGTTTGTGTATTTGAGGAACAGTAAGTACATTGAAACTTTCTTCATCTAAATAATTCAGTTATAAATAACAAATATAATTGCTCGAAATCATTTTATAAAATGTATTTTCTTCAACTCCTACTTTCTAACTTAAAATAATATTGTATTCTTTTCTAGTTACCTGCTGTACCATGCTATCTTGCAATATATGTGGTGAAACAGTAACCTCAGAACCAGACATGAAGGCTCACCTCCTAATTGTTCACATGGAAAATGAAGTTACATGTCCATTTTGCAAGTTGTCAGGTGTGAATTATGATGAAATGTGTTTTCATATTGAAACTGCTCATTTTGAGCAAAATGAACTAGAAAAAAACTTTGAGAGGATTAATACAGTACAGTATGGAACTTCCAATAGCAGGAAGGACAGCACCCTACAGTGTAGAATGGAAGTTAATTCAAGTATTCATTCAGCTTGTGCATCTAATCATCCGAAAATTTCAGCTCAAGGCCCGCCTAACAATGGTATTTTAAAACATAAAGGCTTTTATTCAGAGAACTTAACTGAATCTAGAAAATTCCTGAAAAGTAAGGAAAAACAGTCTGACCGAACCAAAATTAAAGGATCAATTTATGAAGCAACGTATAGTCCTCCTGAATGTCCATTCTGTGGAAAAATAGAAGGTTGTAGTCAAGATATGGAAACTCATGTGAAAATAGAGCATGCCGATGTTTTAGACACTCCATTAGAAGGTAAAGTATTCGTTTTATATAATAAGTAGCAGTAGTCTCAGTTTAATATGTGGTGTCCCAAAAGTTGATTTGTAAATGAGATCACTACAAATGTGTTTTCAATTTGTTTATAACATTGTTCATTTGCCATTATTGCAATATGAAAATACAATAATGGAAAAGAGTTTTGATGCAAATAATAAATGTTTCAGCTACATTGAAAATAGTTTTAGAAACTTTCTGAGGAGAAATACACTCAGAGTCCAGTTTGCAGAGGCCATTCTTTTTTTTTTATTTTGCGGTACACGGGCCTCTCACTGTTGTGGTCTCTCCCATTGCGTAGCACAGGCTCCGGATGCACAGGCTCAGTGGCCATGGCTCACGAGCCTAGCCACTCCGTGGCATTTGGGATCTTCCCAGACCGGGGCACGAACCTGGGTCCCCTGCATCGGCAGGCAGACTCTCAACCACTGTGCCACCAGGGAAGCCCTTCAGAGGCCATTCTTTTATTTACCACCAGCCCAGTGGCATCTGAACTGTCTGGGACTCAGATTTTGTTACCAAGTTCTAGTTTGATTCTGTTATGATCAGAAAACAAACTTTATGGTTTAAGTTCTTTTGAATTTCTTGAAACTTGTTTTATGGCCTAAGGTATGGTATATGGTCTATCTCAGCACATGTTCCATAGACACTTGGGGAAAAAAATGTGTGTTCTGCAGTTGTTGGGTCGAGTGTTCTATATTTGTCAATTAGGGTATGTTGTTTGATCGTGTTCAGATCTTCCATGTCCTTGCTGATTTCCTGTCTAGCAGTTCTACCAGTTTTTGGAAGGGAGTTGAAGTCCCTAATTATAATTGTGTATTTGTCTGTTTTTCCTTTCAGCTCTATTAGGATTTGTTTCATGTATTTTGAGGCTCTTTTATTGGTGCATACACATTAGAATCATGTATTTTTTGATACCATTGAGTTTTTAAGAGTAATTTATATATTTTGGATGCAAGTCCTTTATCAGATAATGTGTTATGCAAATATTTTTTCCTGGTCTGAGGCTTGTCTTTTCATTCTCTTAACAATGTCTTTCACAGCACAGAAGATTTTACTTTTAATGAAGTTCAACTTACTTGATTTCTTCTTTCATGGGTTGTGCTTTTGGAGTTGTATCAAAACTGTCTGACAGACCCAAGGTCACCTTTCCCACATTATCTTCTAGAAGTTTTAGAGTTTTGAATTTTACATTTAAGTCTGATTCATTTGAGTTAATTTCTATAAAAGGTTAAGGAGAGTGCATAAATTCATTTTTTGAAATTTAATAAATGCTATTTTTTAGGGAAGTTTCAGGTTCACAGCAAAATTGAGTAGAAAGTACAGAGATTACCTGTATACCCCCTGTCCCCTTATCCTCTGAACCTTCTCCATTATTCAACAACCCATACCAAGTGATACGTTTGTTAAAATCAGTGAATCTACATTGACATATCAATATCACTCAAAGTCCATAGTTTACATTAGGGTTCACTCTTGGTCTTGTATATTCTACAGGTTTTTTGGGGTTTTTTTTGTTTGTTTGTTTTGCGGTACGCGGGCCTCCCACCGCTGCAGCCTCTCCCGTCGTGGAGCACAGGCTTTGGACGCGCAGGCCCAGCGGCCATGGCTCACGGGCCCAGCTGCTCCGCGGCATGTGGGATCCTCCCGGACCGGGGCCCAAACCCACATCCCCCACATTGGCAGGCGGACTCCCAACCACTGCACCACCAGGGAAGCCCTATTCTACAGGTTTTGACGAATGTATAATTACATGAACCCACCATTTAGTATTTAGTATCATACAGAATAGTCACACTGCCCTAAAAATCCTCTGTGCTCCACCTATTCATCCTTCCCTCCCCCTGGCCACTGGCAACCACTGATCTTTTTACTATCCATATTTTTGCCTTTTCCAGAATGTCATATAATTGGAATCATACAGTATGTCGCTTTTTCAGATTGGTTTATTTCACTAAGTAATGTACATTTAAGATTCCTCCATGTCTTTTTATGGCTTGATAGCCCATTCTTTTTTTTTTTAAGCGTTGAATAATATTCCTTTGGATGTGCCACAGTTTATTTATCTGTTCACCTACTGAAGGACATCTTGGTTGCTTCCAGGTTTTGGCAATTATGAATAAAGCTGCTATAAATGTCCATGTACCGGTTTTTGTGTGGACAGAAATTTTCAATTCATTTGGGTAAATACAAGGGAATTCATGATTCTGGATCATATAGTGACAATGTGTTTAGTTTTATAAGAAACTGCCAAACCCTTCCAAAGTGGTTGTACCATTTTGCATTCCCACCAGCAGTGAATGAGAGTTCCTCTTGCTCACATCCTTGCCAGCATTTTGTGTTGTCAGTGGTCCAGATTTTGGTCATTCTAATATATGTGTAGTGTTACCTTGTTTTAATTTGCAGTTCCCTAATAACATAATAACATTTTCAGTGCCCAGTATCAGCCAGGTCTTGGTCTTGTAGAGGTACCATTTCTTCTGTCTTGGGCATGCTCCCAACTAGGGCGTTTGATCCCAGTGTCCTGCTTTTTTGCTGAATGCTTGAATTCTGCATGTCACCACGCAGTTTGGAGGGTACTGAGAATCCAACCCCCAAAGTCCATATCTGAACTGGCCTCTACTTACCATTTGACTTTCCTTTTCTTTTCTTGTTTTGACTACGGAGCTAAATGTTTATTATTAGTATTTTCCTTTATTGTAAGAGGTTTGTGCTTATGCTCAGGCTTTCATCTTGACCCTAGAAGTAGAAAAATTTCTTTAAATCCAACTACAAAGAGCTTTTACTTATTTAATAAAGTTAGTGGGTAGTAGAGTCTTTGACTTGGGGTGAAAAATTTTAAGGTTTTAAAAATCAAACCAACTAAATTATATCTCTAATACAGATTGTAATCAGCCACTCTATGACTGCCCTATGTGTGGGCTCATCTGTACAAATTACCATATTCTCCAAGAACATGTTGACTTGCATTTGGAAGAAAGCAGCTTTGGACAAGGTATGTCTATATGTTTAAAGATAAGAATGTCATGATTTAATTTCTACTTCCTAGGATACTATCTACTTTTTAGATTAGTGTTATAGAGGGAAAAAAAAAAACCCACACTGGTTAAAAATAAATCTGTCCCTTAAAAAATTCTAATACCGCTTCAACTATTTTAAGAAGTTTTTTCACAGAAAAGTTATAAAGAATGAACTATTGTGACCAACAACTGAACTAGGGGTGTGAATCCAGGGTTTTGACCTAGAACATCAGTATTTAGAAGATAGTGAAATATTGTACAATTTACAAAATCTTTTTGATGTATAAGTTGAGGCCATTCTTTCAGCCGCTGGAAGTAGTTGAATTTAGCATCTTGTCAGTAAAAATTGTTTATGAACTAGGAAGCTGCCATATGGCACATATAATTTTAAAAAGAATATGAACTATGAGACTTAAAAGTTTTTCAAGTGCATTTTCAGATACTCTTCTAGTTTCTTTATTACCACCTACTAGTTTTATAAGAGATTCTAAAGTTTTCCTCTGTCCCCTATTTTTTTTAATAGTGGTATTGATTAAGTAATCATGAGGGTGCCTTAGAAGTGGAAAGATCCTATATGGTTTTCACAATTCCATTGAAACAAAATGTAATGTAGACCTAAAGAGAAACCAATTGTGTTCTACTGGATTTCAGTTTCTTAAGGTACATAGATATCTCCTGTTAATGCAGGGGTTTTTAGTGTTCATTATCAATGATCCTAGTACCACTTAGTGATGTCCAGGGACAGCATTACCTGCTCACTCAGCCTAATACGAAGATGAGAATTACTGGAGTAAAGATGGAACAGTTCTCTACTGTGGTGGTTCTTTACTAATTACTGTGGAAGAATAAATCTCTGAAGTTGAGAGTCTAATAGTTCTTACTTTGTTTATGATAAGCTTTGTATGGGTACATAAATTATTCTGTAAGCCTGTAGTGGGTAATGAGAGAAAGATATGGTCTGAGTGAATCACTGTTGATAGCTTCAGAAGTATGCTAAGAATCAGTTTTGAATTGCATGTTTCTACCAGTGGAAGTAGGGACAAATTAGGAAGATGTAGCAGAGGCTGAGAGATTTGAAAGGAAAGAAAGAATATTCAGATACATAATTAAACCATCAAATTGGGAGGTCAAGGAGATGCTGGCCAGAAGCCACTCACTAATGGATCTGTGGGACACTGGGTAGAGAGGAAAAAGGGCAAGATGTTCCATAGTTGTAATATTTGCTTAGGGGTCAGACTGTAATTAAGTTACAATCTAATATCTGTACTTTGCAAACTTATATTTTTACCTTCTTTATTATTTCCTTTACCCCCCACAGTATTTCTTTTAAAAACCAATATGCCTTATTTTTGTTAATGAGGGGCACTACTCAAGGGTGCGACTTAATTTCTCTAAGTTCTGGTTTCCTTAGTAGATAATAATACCTAACTTCCTAAGGTTGTTATGAGGATCCAAATGAGATAATTAATAAGAAGTGCCTGTCACAGCCTAAACACTCAGTGAGTATTAGCGATTTAAGTGGAGGCTATACCCTTACAGAAGCAATTCAAGTTCTGCTAGATTTGTTCTCAGTGTTTCTGTGACATCATAGTCATGAATAAATGGGAAAATAATAGCATTTACTCCTTTTAAAAAATACGTATTAACATATAAGTGAGCCTTTATTTCAGTAGTTATTTTATTCTAAACATTAAAAATATATAATAGGTATGGATAGAGTCCAGTGTTCTAGAGATCTGGAATTGGCTCAACAGCTTCAACAAGAAGAAGACAGAAAGAGGAGATCTGAAGAATCAAGACAAGAAATGGAAGAATTTCAGAACCTGCAGGTACAAAGATTAATAGCAATTATATTATTTTGGTTTGGTTAGAGTTCTTATTTTTCAAACATGCTATCAAGTCTTCAGCCTATTATTTTTGTCTTTATTATACAAAATATTTTTTTACATATATTTTTTATAGTTCATAACAGCCACCATTTATAAGTACTCATTCTGGTCATGTACTAGGGTGAACACTTCGTATAAAGTATCTTAAAATCTTCACTGCTCCATGAAGTTATTTTAGACTTTTTTTTTTAACAGCAGATGAAGAAATGGAGACATAAAGTACTTAAGTAGCTTAACTTGCTCAGGGTTTGGCAGTATTAAATGGTAAAGCCTGGATATAAACCTATGTCGATGGGGAAAATTAGGAAATTGAGACTCAGAATTTTAAGTGTTTGTATAGGTACTTAAAACAGAAACTTAGAATTAATGTCTCCTGAGTCTTAAATTCTTTTAGTGACTGCAATTCAGGCATTTAGAAAGAACCATTTTTAATGGAAAATGCTTTTTGATGATGTTTGAGACTTCATTTTTTTTAGGTGAGTGGTGGTATCTGTTGAACTAAACTGGTAGCATCTATTATATTTTTAATGCATTAAAAATTTTAACAGCTTTTTCTACTTTTTTCAGACCTAATTTGCTGTAGACTATGATGTCATCTGTGCTAATAATGCTCATATAGTTTTTAAGTGTTCTTTTTCTATGTGCTAATAGGGTAATGTATGAGTAAAAAGGGTTTATGATTGAATAGGTTTGAAAGTGTCCAGTTAAACAGGTTTGTGTACTTGGGGTCTTCTCAAAGCCTTTAATATACTAATATGCATTGTACATATCATAATCTTCCTGATCTTAATTTGACCTTTGACTTCTTTTTTCTCCAGTATCTTAGACATGGCTGTTCTTCCTTTGGAATATCTAATTTAGGCTATTTTTCTCATTCATGATTCATTTATTTGCAAAATTATTTTCCCACCAGGATTCAGAGGAGAAAAGAAAGTTGGCTTTTCCTAAGTCTTCTTTGCCTTATATAATTTTGAAACATTTATCAATACAAAAACTTTTCAGTGTTTAAGGGAGTTTATTATGTAAGTTTGCAGGTTACTTGTTCAGATCTCAGAAATGTTTTCCATAGGGGCTGTTTTAACATATTATTGTCAGTGTGCAAAAACATAGTTCATTCACTACATAGAATGAATACCTGAATGAATTATGGATTAAGTAGGCCTTTGTAAGCTAGCCTAGGAACCAAATAACAAGTACTGACAGGTTGTCTTGAAAAAATCAGCAGTATGGTCAGAACTCATCTGCCTTTTACAGTACCATTAGTAGGAAGACAGGATTCTCTATTTTCCCTACTACAAGGAAAACAAGTCTCTTGCCATGATGGTTGTTTGTAAAGAAAGGCTATTATTAACTTAGGGATTTTTTGGTGTGTGATTTATTTTTCATAAAAATCTTTAAGTTGACTTGTATAAATGTCTATAAACCAAAATGTTTCAAAATATATTTCCAGATATAAAAAATAGTGGGAAGTTTCCATTCTCATTAATGTAAAGGGACATAAAAATTAAGTCATTTGTTTTTATGTTCAATAGAGACAATATGGTTTAAGTAATTCTGGAGGGTACAAGCAACAGCAGCTACGAAATATGGAGATAGAAGTAAATAGGGGAAGAATGCATCCATCTGAATTTCATAGAAGAAAAGCTGATATGATGGAATCACTAGCTATTGGTATTGATGATGGAAAAACAAAAACTTCTGGTGAGTATTTAAACATCCAAATCATGGTTTTAATATCCCATACATCACTGAAGTAATAATCAGAATTATTTGAATTTTGCTTAATTTTCATAACCCATAGTTTATATAGTTTTAGGTGAGACTGTGTGTTCAAGTAATTTTTTGTTTGTTGTTTTAAAACTCCTGAACTTTTATTTTTATAGTAAATAATTCACTTAAAAATAATTCACTTTTATATTGTGTCAATTTATTTGACATTTGGAAACAAACCTTTTAGAGAAGTTTTTAAGTGCTTACTATGTTCTAGACAATTGCTGTCTAGTAGAATGTGAGCCACATAAATAATTTTAAATTTCCGGTAGTCACATTAGAAAAAGTAAAAAGGACTAGGTGCAATTAATTTTAATATTTTTCCAGCGTGTGCATAATATGTCAACATGTAATAGGTATTAAAAACTGTTAATGGGATATTTTGCAGTTCTTCAAAATCCAATGTGTATTTTACTTTGCAGGGCATCCCAGTTTGGACAAGCCACACTTCAGGTGTTCAAATAGCCACCTGTAAATAGTTTCTACCGTATTGTTTAGTACAGTTTTAGATACTAAGACCTTTATATATATTGTATCATGTAACTCTCTAAAGAAAAATCTTGTGTACTGTTGGATTTTTCTGGATGAGGTCATTGTGACTTAGGTTAAATTACTTTCCCAAGGTAAAGGTTACATAGCTAGTTATTGGCCCAGCTGGTATTCAGTCAGATCTGCCTTGTTCCAAAGAATGCCATTTTTCCTGATGTTTTTAATATTCTTTTTAACATATCTGTTAGTATAGTTTAAAAAAAAAACAAATTATATGGAAACAGCTCTGTTCCCACCACCCAGTTTTTATGAAATTTAATGTTTTAAAGCTGTAAACCCTTTCATATGTATTTTAAACCCCTTGCGTACCCCTCATTCATTCTGATTTCTGTCCTCCACAAGGGAATCATTATCCTGAATTTGGTATTTATCAGTCTCATATGTTTTAGTAATTTTATCTTATATGTAGGTTTCCATAATAATACATAATCTTGTATATTTTAAACTACATGTAAATTGGTATACAATATGTATGCTTTAATTGGATTTGCCTAAATATATTGATTCTTATAACTGTACTTCATTCATTTTGATTTTTGCTGTATAGAATTTCCTTGTATTACTTAGGTTGTTTCCAGTGTTTTATTCTTACAAATTGTGAACAGGTTTCCCCCTCAAGAGTTTCTCTAACATCCAGACTGGAAATACTAGATTAAAGGGTATTTGCATAATTAACTTTGTTAAGGGCATTATGGAGTTGTTTTCTAAAATGGTTGTAATCTACGTTAGCATCAGTGTGTTCTGACTTATACTTTGTATCGTGACACTTTTTAATTTTTGCCATTTAATAGGGCATGAGAGGAGGATACATCTCTTAATTGTATTTCTCAGATTACTCCTGAGTTAGTTTCTTCTGTAAATAACCTAGGTCCCTTCCTTTTTCCCTTCTCTGTTGGGTTGTTTGTCCTTTTCTTATTGATTTTTGGAAGTCCATTAAGTATTCAGGATACTAATTCTTCATTGATTATATGAGGAGCAAATATCTTCTTCAAATCTATAATTTGCCTTTAAATTTTGTACCTGGTGTCTTCAATTAGACAGAATTTTAAATTTGAAAATCGAATTTCTCAATCTTTCCCTTTATTTGTTTTCTAAGTGTCTTGTTTAAGAAACTCCCCCATCTTTGAGATCATAAACATATCCCTTTATATTGTCTTTAAATATTTATACCCTTAAAATGGATAACCAACAAGGACCTACTGTATAGCACAGGGAACTCCGCTCAATATTATGTAACAACCTAAATGGGAAAAGAATTTGAAAAAGAATAGGTACATGTATATGTATAACAGAATCACTTTGCTGTACACCTGAAACTATCACAACATTGTTAATCAGCTATACTCCAATATAAAATAAAAAGTTTAAAAAAAGTATATTTTTAAAAAAGATAGTTCCTTCACATAGATCATGGTATTTTTTTATGCCAACTGGAAGTGACTGTAGCACATAAAAATCAACTCACTGTGATAAACCATAATATGGAAAAGAATATTATATGTATAACTGAGTCACTTTGCTGTACAGTAGAAATTAACACATTGTAAATCAACTGTACTTCAATAAAATAAACTAAAATTTAAAAAAATAGAACAAAACAAAAGAAAAATTTATGCCTGCTTTTCATATTCAGGAATTCCCTGGCGGTCCAGTGGTTAGGACTCCACACTTCCACTGCAGGGGCCACAAGTTTGATCCCTGGTTGGGGAACTAAGATCCCGCAAGCGGCGCTGCCAAAAATATAAAATAAAATAAAGTAGCCATTACTAAAAAAAAAAAATTATATATACCATTTCATATTTTGACTTTTAATCAACTTGGAATTTATTTGTGCATATGTCTGTGTGAGAGAGAGGGAAGGAGGGAAAAAGTTGAGTGAGAGAAAGAGAAGGCATGGATCTAATTTTTCCCCTTATTTATAGTGATACTTACAATACTAAGTTGTTATTGCTTGTTTGTCTCAGTACCACTTAGCAAATCTGTACTGTCTCCATGTATTTGTAACACATATGTCATATTTTCATATATCCATAGGTCTGTTTTTCCCTGCAGAAAGTTTCTGTACAGGATAGGACTTCCCAGCAGATGTGTAATATGATGCATTAGGGTATATAGGAAGAAAATATTAGAACTTCTACTTGTCTTTAATTTATGGTATCCTTTAATTTCTGTTTATGCATATGTTTTAGAGTTACTGGAGAATATAGTAGTGTATGTATAATTTAAAATAAATATATCTGTAAAAGATTGAAGAACACTGCCCTGTAACATACTGTGTCCTTTTTATAAACTACCTTGAAATTTAGAAGTAATCGATTTGGTGCTAAAGATTTTTTTTTACTCCCTTCACTCATTTCTCCCATCCCCCCACATCCTGCCTCTGGCAAAGACCAGTCTGTTCCCTGTATCCATGAGTTTGTTTTTGTTGTTGTTGTGGTTGTTGTTTTGTTGTTGTGTTTTTAGATTCCACATGTAAGAGAGATGATGCAGTATCTGTCTTTCCCTGTCTGACTTACTTCACTTAGCATAATGCCCTTAAGGTCCCTCCACTGTTATAAATGGCAAGATTTCATTCTGTTCTGTGGCTAAATAATATTCCATTGTATGTATGTGTGTGTGTGTGTGTGTGTTATCTCTTCTTATTTTGTTTTTTTGTTGTTGTTGTTACATTAATTTTTTTATTCTGTTTTTTATTGGGGTATAGTTGATTTACAATATTATATTAGTTTCAAGTATACAACATAGTGATTCAATACTTTTTAGATTATACTCTATTTAAAGTTATTATAAAATATTGGCTGTATTCCTTGTGCTATATAATATATCCTTGTAGCTTATTTATTTTATACATAGGAGTTTGTACTTCTTAACCCCCTACCCCTATCTTGCCCCTTTTTCCTTCTCTCTCCCCGCTGGTTATCCACTGATTTGTTCTCTATATATATGTGAGTCTGTTTCTGTTTTGTTATAGTCATTTGTTTTATTTTTTAGATCCCTCATATAAGTGATAACATGCAGTTATTTGTCTTTCTCTGTCTGACTTATTTTACTAAGTGTTAATACCCTTCAGGTCCATCCATGTTGTTGCAGATGGTGAAATTTCATTCTCTTTTATGACTGAGTAGCATTCCTTTGCGTGTATGTATGTGTACCACAATTTCTTTATCCATTCATCCTTCAGTGGACACTTAGGGTCTATATCTTGCCTATTATAAACCATTATGCAGTGAACATAGGGGTGCATATATCTTTTCAAGTTGGTGTTTCTGTTTTCTTCTGATAACAGATTGGCTTGCTGTGTCATATGGTAGTGAAATTGCTGGATCATATGGTAGTTCTAGTTTTATTTTTTTGAGGAACCTCCATACTGTTTTCAATAGTGGCTGTAACAGCTTTCAAAAGTATGCAAATATATACAGTCCTGTTGGACTGCTAGTATAAGGCCTGCTGACCAGGTGATATGGCAGTGTCCCCTGGGTGACAATCGCAAAATCAGGGTTGCACACAAGTGTATGGGCTCTTTTCTGGAAGTTACTGATAAGCTGGAGTAAGGCAGAGGGAGAATGCCAAGGTGGCATCCACAGCCTTCATTCCTTGAGAGCAGCTCCTTAGTCCACTAGATATGTGCCAGTCCTGAAGCTTGCACCCCAGGCTGAAGCTCTAAGACAAAGAAAGAGGCTGCCTTCAGAGAAAGACTTGGGGATATGCCTCAGTTTTTTGTCTGTGCTGTGCCCTGGAGGTGGCGGCCTTCTAAGAATCGTCTTCCCTATTGCCATAGTCCTGTGAGACCCAGGAATGCAAGCCCTCCTGGCCACCAGAATCAGGCCGTCAGGGTGGCAGCTGTGAAAGCTGGGGTACCAGGTGTAAAAACCAGGACACCAGCCGTGTGTAAGGCTCCCCTCCAGGAGACACTGGCTCTCTGAAAACTTCCCTAACCTTGGGAAGGAAAAAGAAATCCAGATCCAGGAAATCCAGACTTCCAAATAAAATTTTATTTTTTGTTAGTTATGCAGATGTTAATTGAAGCTGCTCTCATTTGAAGAGTCTCATTATTTTAACATTCTATATTCTATATAGAATAGAATATAATTTAACAGAAGGTACATTCATCTTGGAAAATATCTAAAGACATTTAGGTGCTAAGAAATAAAAAACTTTAATGAGGAAATTTTCCTTAAAAGGAAGTGCTATGATGTGGTTACTAGGACAGTATTACCTACACAATGAGGCACCATTGAGTTAGTAATAACTATGCCAAAGTATATTAGAATGTACATTACTTTTTTTTTCTATTTTTCTATTATTCCACCTCACTCTTAAATGTCTCTCAAATCTTGATCTCTTTATCAAAGTCTATGATACTGAATCACACATTAATTTCTCTGAATTCCTAGAGTACCCATTCCATGCTACAACATTTAGTACTCAGTTATATAGCATTTTAATTGTTCTTTTTCTTGACCGTGAGTCTAATCTTTTTAAGTTCCCTGGAAATGGTTATAATGGTCTATATTTCTGTCCTTCATAGTGTAGGCACAGCTACAACTCTTGGTTCCTTTAATTGTTTTGATTTATTGACTTAAAGACAAAAACTCATTTTCCTATAGGATAATCTTCATTCAAGTAAAGCATTTAGTGATTGCCTTTTTGGTGCCATGTTCTCTGTGAGAAAGTATGGGCTATCCAAATAAGATTTTCCTGTCAATAAGCTTCCCAGAGTCTGTAAAGTATACACAGAGAACTGTAGAATTCTGCCATGAAATATGACCAGTACCTAGGAGGCACAAGTAAAATGTAGTGATTGTTCAGATAAAGAGGACCTTTTTGTTTGGGGTTATGGAATCAGGAAAAGTGTTTACGAAGACTGTAGCATTTGCTTCTGAAGGTATCAGTAGGATTTTGAAATATAGGGAGAGTTACTAGAAGCAGGAAAGGGATAGAATCAGATGTACCCTGCCCTAACACCTTGTTATTCATGCTATAGCACTTCTTATAATCTGGGTCCAGGAGATTTTAAGGAATATTGTCATAATATTTTGTATCCTCAATGCTTAGCATAGTGCTAAGTATTTTAAAAGTGCTTAGTAAATATTGTAATTGAATGAAAACTCCATGGTCAAAATCATGTTTAATGTGTTCAGTTAGGCCACAGCCAAAATTGTGGCAAGAAGAGTGGTTTGAAATAAAGGTAAGTTAGAGGATGGCCTGCTGTGGGCTTCATATTACCATGGATTAAAACTATTCCATGGGTAATAGGAAGCTATTGAAGTTTTTAAATTGAGAGCAAATTGACTAGGACTGAGCTTCAGAAAGAATGATGTCCAGCAAAATGTATAATAAGTTGGGGGGTCAAGAACATTCATTCAGCAATGTACTTTTATGTGCTGCCCCTGCAGATGCAGAAGTGAAGGAAGCAAACAGTTTCAATTCAGCATAATAAGTAATATGCTAGTATTAGGAAACTCGCATAGTAGTAAACAAGCAGGACAATAACCAAGATTATATCAGTAAAAAGATAAAGAAGATGGAATCGACAGGATTTAGATGTGGCCCTTGAGAAAGAGGTTCATATTAGAAATATATGAGACAGCCATAGAAAGATGATATCCCTCTAAACTTTCTAAATCTCTTTTTCACTTTAGGAATTATGGAAGCACTTTATAGGTATTATCAGAATGCTGCCACAGATGTGAGGCGTGTGTGGCTTTCTACAGTAGTGGATCACTTTCATTCATCTTTTGGTGACAAAGGTTGGGGTTGTGGTTACAGAAATTTCCAAATGCTGCTTTCATCATTATTGCAAAATGATGCTTATGATGATTGCTTGAAAGGTATGTGAGATACGATACCCTGAACTTATCATCTGATAAAGTACATTTGATGTGGAATGAATTAATATATAGTAGGCACAATTAATAGTTTTAATAAAGATGTATTTTAGTGGATATTTACATTAAAAACCTGAATTCTGGTTGAAGGAAGAGAAAATGATGCAGTAGAAGATATCAGAAATAATGGCTTAAAAACTGTAGGTTCCTGTAGAATGTTTGGTGTACTGCTAAATGATATTATTCAGTACTTTACTAACTGTCATATTACATATTTGCTTTGTATAATTTTAGGTATGTCAGTTCCTTGCATTCCAAAAATTCAGTCTATGATTGAAGATGCATGGAAGGAAGGTTTTGATCCCCAGGGTGCCTCTCAACTTAATAATAGGTTACAGGGAACAAAGGCCTGGATTGGAGCATGTGAAGTATATACACTTCTGACCTCCCTAAGGATAAAGTATGTACCTAAAAAACCAAGTTAATGTTATTGTCATATCCGGGAAATTTTTGTTATTGTGGTTTTTTTTTTTTATCAAAGGGATAGTTAAAAAATAAAATTTAAGTAGCATTAAAATGAAAGACTTACAATGAAAACCAGCAACTCATTCCCCATTTCATGCTCTTCTCTATTCTCAAGTCCTGTCTCTCAGAGGCAGCTGTCACTTGCATTGTTTTTAAACAATATGCTTTCATGGCCTTTTCTTGGTTTGTCACTTTTAGACATTGTCTATTGCATTCTCTTTATATCTCCCATCTGTTTCCCCTCAATTTTTGTAATATAGTTAAATCTCAGTTTTTATTAAGTTAAAGTCAGAGTTTACATCATGACTGTGTAAATATTATTCATTGCTGATTTTATATCTTTCCTGAAAAGCTTTTTAAAATTTTCTTTGAGTTAAGAATTGCCTTTCCTTTTCCGTTTTACAGTTTGGCTGCATCATGGTCAAATTTTTCCAAAAACTCCACTTATCATGAAATCTGAGGCGCTCCTTATTCCTGGACACCTTTTTCTTGAAGCTGTCTTTCCTCTGCTCTAGTCTGCATTATTTGCCTTCTAGATCCCTTCCACAGCTCTAATCATGTTGCATTTCTTCACTGTTTTCTTGAATTGTGTCCTGGATTTTTCCTGGATTCCATCTCTCTCTCTTTTTTGGATTACTCTCTTTTGCTTGAACACTTCCTTTATTAGCCTTCTAAGAAAGGGTACCTAGTCTTATTACATAAGTGATAGTTTGTGTGGCTGTATTATTCTTAACCCAAAATCATTTGCAAATCAGATCAAGTTGTTACTCTGTTGACTTCTAGCAATCAGTATTACTAAAGAGATGCCATCTGATTTTTGTTCCTTTGTGTATAACCTATTTATTTTCTCTGGAAGTTTTTTGGCATCTTTTCTTAGCCCCGATACTATGAAATTTCACCATTGGATGTGGGGCTTTGATTCATTGTGTTGGGCATTTGTTTTTCCTTTTGAATCTGGAATTGTAGGCTATAAGATCTCAGTATAGTGGTTAAGAGCTTAGACTTTTTGAAGTAAGATTGCCTACAATTGATTCTAGCTTTCTGCCTACTAGCTCTATGACTTAACTTGTCCTAGTCCCACCATTGATAAAAGAACATGTAAATAGTTACTGCTTCATAGAGTTGTAGTGATAATTAAATGAGATAATAATGTCCTTAGGACTATGACTGGCATGTAGTAAGAGCTTAGAGGTTAACTTGTTTGATAATTATGATCCCTCCATTTTCTTTCTGGAACTCCTGTTAGTTGGCCACTGAACTTCTTTGACTTTCTTTGATTTTGTTTTATTATCTAAATTTACTTAACATTATCTCCCAGCTACTGTATTGAAATTTTTGTTTTAACAATCATGTTTTTAATTTTAAGGGGTAATTTCATAGCATCATATTCTTTTATGGTTGTAAAATTTTTTTCCAACATTTTCTTTTTTTCTATTCCTTTCATTTTTCTGTATCCTCCATGTTAACTTGTTTTCTTGTCTATTTATTTTAGTCTTTTCCATTTGGAAGGCTTTCTTCTAACTTTTAAAAATCCTTAGCTGTCTGTTCCTAAAGTGAAGAATGAGGCACTAAAAAACTGGCGGACCTCGGCTTTCAAGAGGCATCGGAGATAGATGCTTATGATCATCTTTAATCATCTTTAATGGAAAGTTTGCCTTAAGCTTCATGACTCTATATTTCCTTTTATGTTTGTGTCTAAGTAATTTAGCCAGTGTTTTACATCATTTCTATCATGTTAATTGATTCAGAAGAAAAAATATTTCTTAAATTTTAAATAGAAAAACGAATGTGTGTATAATAACTTTCTCAAATTATTAAATTGAAAGGACTATTTTAATGCCCTCTAAATTTCTTTTTTCTTTTTTTCTTTTCCTTTTTGCCAGTCTGTTCACACCTTCAGATTATATATACTATATCATGTTTTGAGCTTTTAAGTAATTTTTAAGGAAAGGGAAATTTTTTTTTTAAGTACCTGATGTATCCAGCTGTTTTCTTGGCACCTGAAAAAGTTTAGTTTTTTGTAAAGCCTTTTTATTACTATACCCTGAATTTCCTTACTAGTTATTTAAATGTCTTCCTTTTGCTCTCTGTGAATTATAATCTGTAGGATGCTATTCACATTCTAAATCTAAGCCTGCAATCAACTGCTAACTCAAAAGCACTGTTCTTTTTGATAGTTTTTCCAGAAGTTCATTTCAACATGTAAAGCTCAGTAGTAATCAGTTGAGAGTTACCAACATTAAACTTGGTGTATTTGGAAACTTTATGGCCAAGAGAGACAAGGATAGGATATCTGTGCTATATTTTAAAGTGAAAATAAAGCTTTTAATTGCTTTTACTTATATTCGACCTTTTTTAAAATAGTTGTTGAGAAGTGTAAATAGTGCTCCTAGTTAAAATAGTTTGGTTTATTCATGGTTGACTTCCTCTTGAGGAAACAATACCACCATGGTCTGTTGCCAAATAGGAGATGTATAGATGGGAGTACATACAGGTTTTTTATGATCTTTACAGGTATTCTTTTCTTGTCTATTATTGAAATTTGAGAGAACTGACAGGAAAAATATTTAGGATATTTTTGATAGCTTCAAATGGCTGTTGAGGAATTATAATTAGAGGTCGGCTTCTAATTGATCATCGGGTTTTAGAGACTTTGGAGTAAAAGTCCCTATGTCTCAGGCTATATGTAGACTTTCAAAAGTCAAGTATGATCCTCATTTACTACTAATGGAAGTTTTATATGTCAGAAAATTTTTGTAACTTTTATATCTGTCATCAACCTTAAAAGTTATTTAAATAATTTCCTCATAAAATAACAGTTTTCAGATAAATAATAAAATTTTTATTTCTTCTTAAGAAAATGATGAAATAAAATTAATTCTAAATTAAGAATTTTTTGTATTTTATAACTTCATTGATGAAAAAATTTTTTTAATATTTTCTAAATAATCCATTTTGTCCATTTTTTTAATAGGTGTCATATTGTTGACTTTCACAAGTCAACTGGCCCTTTGGGTACACACCCTCGCTTATTTGAATGGATATTGAGCTACTATTCTTCAGAGAGAGAAGGGAGTCCAAAAGTACTGTGCACATCTAAACCTCCTATCTATCTTCAGCATCAAGGTTAGTATAACTTACAGATACTAAGTGTAACTTATAAGACAGGCAATTGGCTTTTTCTTTAGGATACGTTAAGATTCTGATAATGGGAGGAGAGGAGTATTGTGACTTTACTCTGATTTTTAGAGGTATATTGTCATCATAATACATTCCAGTAATGGATGATATCCTTGGTATCTTCAGGGCCACCTGGTTCACTCTCCCTTTATTGCTCATCCTTTACATTTTCCAAGGCTTTACCTCCCTTCAGTGAGGCCTTCCCTGACCATATTTTTAAAAAATTCATCTTGTTATTCTGCCCGCCTCCAACGATGGCATTTCCTATCCCTCTTCCCTGCTTTATTTTTCTTTATCTAACATGATATATATAAACTTTACCTATTTACCTTGTTTATGGAGAATTCCTTCCTATTAGAATATAAGCTCCATGAAGGCAGAAGTGTTTGTTTTGTTTGCTTTTGTATCACTAACTGCATGGAATAGTGCCTGGCATATGGATATTTCATAAAATTTGTCGAATGGATGATTTGGATTGACAGGAGGAAGGAGAAGTAAATATTAGGAATTTCATTGTTTAGGATACAAGCTAGAAAGTTTAAGCCCTTCCCATTGAAGTTCTAGTATATATAAATTGACTTTTGTTTACCTTTTGGAACCATGAGAGTTTTTGTTCTTCAGTAGGTAAATTTCAAATCCATTCATCTGAGATAATTTGAATAAGAAGGACTATGGGATTAGGAAAGAAAGACTAAAATATATGGCATAGTGAAAGTAGAATTTTTTGCCACGAAGCCTTTAGAAAACTAAAATTGAACAAAGAAAACTGAAAGTGTCTTAGAACTGAAAGAACTCAGATAACCTATATGTCAGAGGGACTGACTGTATTTATATTCTAAGTACATGTGCACACACACTATATATAGAAAGTGTATATAGTGTGTCTATATATGTGCATGTGTATATATAGTAACATATCTGTATATAGCTGTACATATAGGTAGATATCACACACGCACACAGATATATATATATAGCTCTTACTTGATTTTTTGATAGGTCATAGTCAAACAGTTGTTGGAATTGAAGAGAGAAAAAACCGAACATTATGTTTACTAGTATTTGATCCTGGATGTCCTTCTCGAGAAATGCAGAAACTCTTAAAACAAGACATGGAAGCTAGCAGTGTCAAGCAACTTCGGAAATTTGTGGGGAATTTAAAACATAAGCAATACCAGATAGTGGCAGTAGAGGGTGTTCTTTCTTCAGAGGAGAAAATTGTAAGTATCTAAATATTTATTATGTGAAGCTTGGACAGGTTGAACTTCAGAGTATAAAATTTTTAGCTAACTCCGAACACCTCATTCTGTAACATTAGGTTGGCAAAGATATTTTGTGTGTCATTTAATTTCTGGAATAGACATCTTTAAATTTCAAATGGTACCTAATTTTGTCAAATATTTTACTTGGAGCTTCACAAAAATATTTAATTTTATAATACATAATTTAATTTTTAATGTCAGGGGAGTAATGAAAAATGGCAACATATATGGTAAGAAAAAGCTAACTTAATCCAAGGAGTTCTAACTCATACTGGTCTCATAATTGCTGTTTATTAAATGTGATTCTAGTGATTCCTGAGGCTCTGTGTTAGGCACTTGGATATGTTGGATGAACTATTGGAGCTATATATATCACACTGTTGAGAGAGTGAAGTACTCTAATAGGGCACATACACTTACTTATTGGATATATACAGTTCCAGAAATTAACTTCAGTACAGTTACCTCTTTATCCCTTGCATTTAAGTGATGAGTAGTACATTATAGAAGAATTCCTAGGAATTGGAAACCCTCCACTTGTATAAACTGAAGCTATGTGGTAGCATATCAAGTCTAGAAAATACACAGTTCTCGAATCTTAAAGAAAAAAAAATGTCCCTATTAGAGTACTTCACATTTGTTTCCCTCTAAAGAGAGAGGAGATAGAGCAGTAGAAAGGAGCGTTTATGAAGAATAATAGGATCATGAGGGAAAGGACTAAAATTGTTTGAAATGAGAGATAGAGCTAGAGTAATCTTTTCAGCATCACAACTTGGGATATAAAGGCAAGGACTGTGTAAGAGGTTCTTCAGTTTAATTACGATACATTAGAGGTTTCTTTGCAATGACTTAAATACCAAAATTGCATTCATTTTTTTCACCCTATCATTAATTTGGCTGAATAAAGTTAGAGGTTAATTTTATCTGTTATAAAATACCAAGATGCTTGTTCACCAATATACTGATAACTTTTGACATCATAGGTGGGGTTAAGATGTTATGGAAAAGCCCAAGTGAACTTTTTGGCCGACACAATATCATGGAGTCTAGCTGCACATTTTATTTAGCTGTTAGCTTTCTGGTCTTGGAAAGTGAGACCTTGGTGGTGTTTCTCTGCTTGTAGCCCCATCTCTACCCTCTCCTTCTCTCTGTTTTTACCTCTCTCTGACTTTGAGCCAGGATTTTTTATTTTGATTCATTATTCCATAAAAAAGGTGATATTTTCTTTTGAATCCTTTGGGTTTTGTCTTTATCTGGAATTTTCTTTAATTTTTTAATGGCTTGGCTTTAAAAATGTTTTTCCTAATTTCCTAAATTTGAAGTTGTAATATTCCTTAAGGAATTTTCATTATCTTGAAAAAAATTCTAGATTTTTTGTATTATAAAATTAATACATATTTTAATTAATTGACTTCTCCCTTACTATTAATATTATTTTTAATTTCTTTTCAAGGCCAGGAGACAAGCTTCTCAAGTCTTTACAGCCGAGAAGATCCCTTGAAGAAGTAAACATTTCAGTGATTGTGGAATTTTACTTTATTTTCCAAATTCAGATATTAAACTTTTAATACAACATATGAATTCTCTAAATACTCCGTTTATAATTTAATTTCTAAAATTCTAAATTATACCTTTAGTACTCCATTGTTTAGTAGTTATTCCAATAAAATATCTTGTTTGCATTGTGGGTTTTATATTTCTTATCCATGTTTCAGAAACTGGTTTTGTATAATAGTCATATGACTATTTATTAGGTTCTTACTTGTGTTAGGTATTCTCAGTATTTTGCGTGTATTGATTAATCTCCAAAATAGTTCTGTGAGACAAGTACTGTTATTAGTTTGTGAGGAGGCTGAAACTCTGAGAGATTAGTAATTTGCCCAAGAAAGTGGTCATCATCCAGAGTGTGAACCCGACTGCTCACCTCCAGGCTCTTACCATTATAGCATTCTGCTTTCTTCTGTTATTATATATGTAATGAAATTCCCTCCTCACTACTTAGAAATAACCTTAATATTTAATAGGCATAGCTCTAAAAAGAGGGATTTGCTTTTGTTAAATATTTACACGTACTTATACAACGGTGATGTAGAGTGTTGTGTTTAATGTGTCCTGTAGGAAAGAAACTTTCATATTCTGTTGGATTTGCCATGTAAGGTTGCAAGCTAGAATCCTACTCTGGCCAATTTAAGCAGAAGAGAATTCATTCAAATTATCAGAAAGCTCACAGAATCCATAGGTAACTAGGGAACTCTGCTAGAACAAAGGCAACAGTAGGGGCTAGAATATTGCATAATTTACAGCAGGGTCAATCAGGTTAGGAGCAGAGGTAGAATGTTTGCTCAAATTTCAGATTCCAGAGAGGGCACATCTGATTAGCATGTGACTGTATGCCGTGGGACAGAGGCAATTTCTCAAAAGGAAATCTGGGTAGATGAAGAAATGGATATTAAATAACAAAAAAGAAAAGCAGTAAGTGTCTACTGCCCCGTGAAAAAATGAACAAGAACTTATTTGAATGAAGTTCTATAAATATTATTTATGGCATCAAATACAGAAAGTTGCTCTCCGAGAATGAATAATATGTATAGCTGATTCACTTTGTTATACAGCAGAAACTAACACACCATTGTAAAGCAATTATACTCCAATAAAGATGTTAAAAAAAATAGTGTGTATTAACAGCAAGAACTCACAAAACCATAACCTTTATATTCTTAAAAAATAATATTGCCAGCTGGAAAATTCTGGAAGCCATCATTTCTAATATTCTGTCATCCAGACTGGTGAATAGGTTTCTACTCTATATCCCCATGCAGTTACACTCCTTTGTGCCATCATTATCTCTTACCTAGGCAATGTAATAACCTCCTAAATGGGCTCCCTGTCTTGGTCCTCTGTCAGTCCATCTTCCACACGGAAACCAAACCGTTCTAAAGTACAAATGCGATTTTGTGACTTCCAGTTGAGTCCTCTTCATTGCTCATGGTTAAAATCCAAACATCCCACACAATCTGGGCCCTGCATACCTCTCCAGTTTCATCTCTCACCACTCTCAAAGTTTCACTCCTTTCACCCTAAAGACCTTTGCCGAAATACAGCTGGTGCTGCCTAGGGCCCTTACCCCCTTAGTTCTCCTCTTAGAAGGGCTTCCACTTAGAAATGCTTCCTGGACTGCTCAAGTTTGGATTAAATGCACCTTCTAAGTGTTTGATAAGCAACGTTTCTGAAAGTATAGATTGATGAGCTGCAAACCACCAGTCTGTGACAGGATAATTATAGAAGTTACAATTGCTGACATACTTTTATTCTATTTTACACAGATAATAGCCATGGATTAGCAGTTTGTTTGTTTTTTTAATTGGTTCTTCACCACAGAGTTTGAAAGACACTGTCCTATGGTATAATATTTGTATCACAATACCTGCTATTCTAATTATCTACCTTTATATGTTTCCCTCCTTGAATGTAAGCGCTAAGATTTCAGGAGCAATGTCTAGTTTTTAACAGTAGCCCCACAGTGCCTGGCACATCACATATAGAACTTAAGAATACTATTTTTTTTTTTTTTTTTTTTTGCGATATGTGGGCCTCTCACTGTCGTGGCCTTTCCCGTTGCCGGATGCGCAAGCTCAGCGCCCATGGCTCACGGGCCCAGCCGCTCCGCGGCATGTGGGATCCTCCCGGACCGGGGCACGAACCTGTATCCCCTGCATCGGCAGGCGGACTCTCAACCACTGCGCCACCAGGGAGGCCCAAAAATACTATTTTGGTGAATGGAAATAACTAACTTTAGAAAAGCAGTGGTAGAAAATATCAGTTTGAAGTCTTTGAATGTCCCAGCTAGCCGTCTCTGTGCAAATTGTTTTCCCTGAAATCAGATAAAACTAGTTTCTATAGGATGAAAGAAGAGTTACATTGAGACATTTCTTTAAGAAGCAACAAGTAAAAGAGTTAAGAAATTTGAATGTTCCCACAGTCTTTGAGCAGGTGGTGGAGTTACATACCCTCTCCCCACAGGGGGGGAATATATATATAGATGTATATACATGCACACAGTATTTGCATACAATATAACAGATTGCTTAAGAACACACGCTCTAATTTAGTTATTTTCAATATTTTTGGTCTCAGTATTCCTTGATGCTCAAAAAATATTTAAGTTCCCAAAGAGCTTTTGTGGGTTATGTATTTTCATGTCTGCCATATTAGAAATTCAACCTGAGACTTAAAAAAAAAGAAAAAAATATAGAGGCACATATTCCATTAGCTGCAGCCATCAAAACAGTAATGTTAGAAAATGTCATTTAGCCTTTGAAAAATCCGTTGAGTATCTTTCTAAAAGTACATATTAATAGTTCTACATACAAAATTCCAAATTTTATATTTTCAAGGAATGGTATTTTGCATATCAATAGTTGCCTATATATATATAGGCAAATATATATATATATATATATATATGTCCCAAATAAGGAGTATGTGTGTATCAGTATAAGACTGGGCTAATTTTATCTTTATTAGTCATAGTCATCTTCATCTTCCTCAGTTTCTTCATTTTCCTCTGTTGAATTTACAGCTGCTTCTTGTGCAGCCCTGAAAGCCTGCTCCTCTTCCACACTAGGGTCATCCATTTCTGTAATTTCTGGTCCACTGGGGTACTCTTGATAAACTGGTGGTGGAACTGGAGGTGTATAGCTGTCTGGACTATATTTATGACCCCAGCCTATGTAGAAATTTTCAAACTTTCTGTAAGTTAAAAAAAAATGTAGATCATTGTATAATTTTTCAGTAAGAAAAATTGATCCTTCTTTTCTGTAAGGATAAGGTACTTAGAGTATGATAGTCCCATAATGTTAAAACAGTACAGTATATTTTAAATGCATTAGAGATGAAATATCCTTAAATGATTCTTTTACCACAGGGAATTACTATGATCCAAACTGCTTAAGCTGGTTAAGAAAACATAGGGCCAGACCCTGTCAAAATGTACCCCACACCTGGACCACAGCCTTTCATCTTTTAATTATTTTCAGAAAAACAAAGCAACGAAATTCAAAATTACATACCTTCCTTAGAGTTAGAAAGAATTAAGAAGTTGCCAACCTTGAAAACTCTTGGCTGGGTGAGAAGTAGGACTTGTGGTTAACAACCTATGTGTGATTTTTCAGGTCCATCCTTGAGCAATTACAAAAGCTTTACCTAGTTAGGCCTCACGGGGGGAAAACTGCCCTCTCCACCCCAGACTTGGTGCATAGCCAGTGCACTGCAATCTCTAAGAGAGTGTTGTGGTCAAGGATTCTGGCCCCTCTGGCCTGTCATGCTCTTAACACAATTGTGTTCCTGGCCCAGGTGCCTTCATTCCCAGGCCTCTTCATCTGAGGCCTTCAGCAGAGGTCTTCTTCAGGCCCCTTTGCCAAGGCTTCCTAATGACGGTTGGGTGAGAGAAGGGAAGACCTTATAGACACTTGCCCTACTCTTGACTCAGTACCCAGTACTTTTCCCTAGCCCTCCCCACCTTTCTCTGGTCACAGGTCCTTAAAACTGCAGGAGCCCTATGTGGGGACTTGCTTGTCATTGAGATGACCCCACAACTCTGCTGACCCATCTGACCTTCCACCAGTGTGCCATTCCATGGGGGTAAATGGAACGGGGTGGGGGAATCAGTCCTTCAACTTGGTTATACCATCACAGTAAGTGATTAAAGGCTTAACATTTTCATTTCTGGCTTGTTGCTTTAATGGCTACTCTGACATATGACCGCTCAGCTCTCCAGCTCAGCCGAGCTTCTGACACTAGGTTATTAAGTAAGAAATGGAAGCATAAGACAAATGAAAGTATGCTCTGGGTGAGGAATTAAAGGACGTTTACTATCCTCTTATCCTAACTCTTTTGAAAGTGATAGCCTAAATCATACATATTTTAAATTATCTTTTATCAAGATATCCAACAAAAATGATGAGATTTAAATTAAATACTGCTTAGAATTACCTCCATGAAATGAATATCAATTACTCAAATTATCATAGAATAAAAAACATATTTTAGCCCCATCAATTGGATAATTCAGATGAAAAGGCAGAAGTCTGAATTACTCTAATGTTCTAAATTTGATGCTTTGTTGTATAAGATGGATGTTGTTTGAATTAATCTTATGCCATACACACTTGACATTCCAGTGATAACTTATAATTTCCAGAAGTTAAATAATCAAAATAATAGCCTTGTAAGTTGTCACATACTTACTTGCCATTGGAAAAGGCATATGCTCCAGTCCAAAGGTTGGATCTAAGGACTGCAATAGCATATTGAGGAATGAGATTTGAGGATAACCGTGTTGTCCAAGGCGGTATATTCTGGATCTCTGTAAACCAAAGAGAAATTCAAAATAGACTTAACTCCTAAATAGGCAAGGATATACTGTGTAACAGAAAAGCTGTATTTATAAATCTTAAAATACACACCTGACATAAAGTTAAAACATTAGCAGCTTAACATAAGAGCAGGAGGGTATTATATGAACGTTGTGTAAAAATGAAATTTGAAAAAAAAAGTGTGTGTATACATTTATATAGATATATATACACACACACATATGTGTGTGTATATATATATATATATTTGTGTGTGTTTATATGTGTGTGTACATTTGTAAAGCAGAGAAAATAAGTTTTACAAGAGGAGGCCTATGTGGCGGAGGGAAAAATACGTGATGACCAAATCATTATTACGAAAGAGAGCTAGGGTTATAAGCATGAATGCCCCAAAACTGAATAGGAAGAAAAAAAGAATATGAAAGCAATAGTAGATTAGAAAAAAACCAAAAACAGTACCTCATATTTTAGCTATGTCATGTGTTTATGATCTGTAGAATGCAAAACAAGAATGATAAAAAAGATAGCTATCAGCATTTCCACTAAGAGGTAGAGCCACCTAATACTTCCTCTGCCGTGCACTCCTGCAACCTCTGTCCTAGACAGTTCTTGGTAGGGCCAGCTACATTACATTCTTTATTCCTACCATGTACTGTAGTGTGTGTGTGTGTGTGTGTGTGTGTGTGTGTGTGTGTACACAGGTTTCTCCCGCTATCCAAAAGTAGAGCATTCCTATGAAACCTTTTTTAAGCTGAAATGACAAAGAGCAAAGAAGCAATTACCTTAGGACACATCTTGCTAATGGATTGACAAGGTTAAGAGAGAAAGCATAGAAGCTCACAAGCACAGTTCAAAGCTATGGCAACTTGATGCTGAGATGCTGAGTGTAGTTCCTGGAGAAGGAGCTTGGAGGTGCCCCTCCGACAGATTGAAGTGTGTGCTACTTCTATAACTGCTCACTGCAAAGCAAGAGCTGAACGCTATTTTTGCCTTTTTTTTTTTTCTTCGTAAAAGAGAAAATCCTCTGGATTTCTATCAGTGAAAATACGTGCTAATGTAGTTCTCTCATAAAAGCAAAGTGGTGTAAGTCTATCTTTTGAAAAGCAGGAAATACCTGTGTATATATACATATATAGTATCAATATAGAGAGAGTATTTGGTATATATATTAAAATATATATTACACTGTATACATACATAGTACGGCATACCTTGTTTTATTGTGCTTAACAGGCATGGAGTTTTTTACAGATTGAAATTTTGTGGCAACCCTGCATCAAGCAAGTCTGTTGACACCATTTTTTCCAGCAGCATTTGCTCACCTCGTGTCTCTGTAACATTTTGGTAATTCTCTCAGTATTTCAGACTTTTTCATTATTATTGTATTTGTTATGGTGATCTGTGATCTTTAATGTTACTATTGTAATTGTTTTGGGGTACCACAAACCATGCCCATGTAAAACAGAGAACTTAATTCTATAAATATTGTGTGTGTTCTGACTGCTCCAACAATGGTGGATTATGTCGTGCACCAGGAACTAATATTGTGCTGTAGGTCAATTATACTTAAAAAACAAACAAAAAAGCTCATAAAAAAAGAGATCAGGTTTGTGATTACTGGAGATGGTGGGTTGTCGGAGGTGGAATTGAAATTGAAGGAAGGGGGTCAAAAGGTACAAACATCCTAATAAGTAGGTACTAGGGATGTCATGTACAACATGATTAATATAATTAACACTGATGTGTGTTATATATGAAAGGTGTGAATAGAGTAAATCCTGAGAGTTCTCGTCACATCACAAGGAAAATTTTTTTTCTTTTTTCTTTTTTAACTATATGAGATAATGGTTGGTGACTAAACTTATTGTGGTTATCATTTTGTGATGTATTTTAGTCAAATCATTATGTCTTACACCTTAAACTTATACAGTGCTGTATGTCAATTATATCAATACAACTGGAAGGAAAAAATAAATAAATGGGAGAATTTAACAAATAAAATTTAAAAAAGAAAACCTGGAAAGGATTCACCTTTCTAGATGCCATTAAGAACATATATGATTCATGGGAAGTGGTCAAAATGTCAACATTAACAGGAGTTTGGAAGACATTGATTCCAACCTTCATGGATGACTTTGAGGGGATCAAGACTTCAGTTGGAGGAAGTAATTGCAGATGTGGTGGAAATAGCAAGAGAACTGTAATTAGAAGTGGTGCCTGAAGATGTGACTGAATTGCTGCAATCTCATGATAAAACTTGAATGGATAAGGAGTTGCTTCTTATGGATGAACAAAGACAGTGGTTTCTTGACATGGACATGGAATCTACTCCTGGTGAAGATGCTGTGAAGATTGTTGAAACGAATACAAAGGATTTACAATATGACATAAACTTAGTTGATAAAGCAGTGGCAGAGTTTGAGAAGATTGACTTCAATTTTCTACTGTGAGTAAAATGCTATCAAACACCTTTGCATGCTACTAAGAAATCGTTTGTGAAAGGAAGAGTCAATGTGGTAAACTTCCTTGTCGTCTTATTTTAAGACCCCAACCTTCACCAACCACCACCCTGATTAGTCAACAGCCATCAACATCAAGGCAAGACTCTCCACCAGTAAAAAGATTATGAGTCGCTGAAGGCTCAGATGATGGTTAGCATTTTTTAGCAATATAATATTTTTTCTTCCAGTTTGATCTCTTTTTCTTTGAGTTTGCATGTATATTTGTTTTTTGAACTATAATTGACCTACAACACTGTGTTAGTTCCTGTTACACAACATAGTGATTTTTTTTCTATACATTTCAAAATGATCACCACGACAAGTTTAGCCACTTTGTATGTCACCATACAAAGACCTTTTTATTTGGACTATTCCCCACACTGTACATTTCATACCCTTGACTCATTTATTTTGTAACTGGAAGTTTGTACCTCTTAATTTCCCTCACCTAATTCTCTCATCCCCCCACAATACAGTGTTTTTTAATTAAGGTATGTACATATTTTGGGAAATAATGTTATTGCACACTTAATAGACTACAGTAGAGTGTAAATAAAACTTTCATATGCACTGGGAAACCAAAAAATTATTGACTCACTTTATTGCAGTGGTCTGGAATTTATCCCTCAATACCTCCAAAGTTTGCTTGTATGTACATGTGTACATACTTATGTATGCCTATACGCACACACGTGCGTGCGCACACACACACACACACATATAGTGTGTAAAATTACCTAAATCTTCAGAGATTGGTGTCAAGAGAGGAGGTCCTACTTCCTGTTCTATGGAGTCAGGCTCTTCTCTTTCTTCTTCTTCTGCTTCTGCTTCTGCTTCTGCTGCTTCTTCCTCCTCACTTTTTTGTAAGGGGTTGAACCAATTACAGCGACCCTGGGTATAAATATTGGAAGATTTAGTAGTCTAACAAGGACCTTAAAATATCAAAATATTCTTTTGGATTGAAGTAATTATCTGCATGACATCCCATTATGTGGCATATTGATCATTCATTCAGCATATATTTACCAAAAGCTGTTTTGATCAATGTTATTTTAAGCAAAGACTGTACTATTTATTTCAAGAATCTGCCCACTTCTTGAAGTTACAGAACATTTATATATTAAAATCATTAGAACCTTAGTGAAAAAAGGTAATCATTTTACTGATTTATGTGAAGGTAACGTACTGTTATTATTATTAATACCAAAAATGTGATAATAAGATTAGGTATGGAGCTTGGGGCTTATAATTTCTCATTTAATTAACTCATCTAGAGGTATTTAAGAATATCTCTTATGTACATCAAAGTGTAATGAAGATTTTCTACCTGCAGGTGAGACAATTTAACAGATTGATTAAGAGTATGGACTCTGGATCCATTCTGCCCATTCATATCTGACCCTGTTGTTTATTAGCTATATTCCCCTTGTGACATTTCCTAAACCCTCTGCCTTAATTTCGTCATCTGTAAAATAAGGATATTAGTCTTTCATACAGTTGTGAGTTTTAAATGAGATAATACATATAAAGTGCTATTAAGAACAACTGGCAGAATAGGTTCTATATAACTGTTATGGAACACTGTTTACTTGTTTTTGTTAGAATCTTTTATCATTCTTGGCAAAAAAAAGTTCCTTGTATTATAAAAATAGAATAAAAGAACTCCTACCAAAATTAATGTACCATCTATATTTAACATATAAAAAATAATTTCACAACACACCTAAATCTAAATCCTTATGTAACTTGTCAAATACTCCATAGAAATATTTATTTTATTTACATTTGGATCACATGTTTATACTACTTGGCAAGTATACAGTACTCTGTGTTTTCGCTAGGTTTTTTAATTGTCTCTGTCTGGAGTCTGAAGGCCTTTGTCTTGTATATATTGTATGCATTGTAGACAGAATTTAATAAATATTTGCTGAATGGATGATAGATTGAGAATTGCAAGGCCCCTACCTGGGGGAGTATATGTTGTACATGATGAACCCAATTGGATAGGGATTCCACTAGATCAATCACTTGGATGCCTTCAAAATCAGGGTTTTCTTCAAAGCTATCTCGCCTGCCTTCTGTTTCTTCCTCCTCTTTTCCTTCTTCTTCACCAAAATGATAGAATCCTAGAGGGGAGACCTGCGTCCCTGCTGAAATTCTGGCAATTTGTGCTCGTAAGTAATTGCTCTCATTTCCTGGGAAGGGTGGGTAGCTTATGATGGGGGTATCCAATCGCCCAGTGAGAAATTTCTTGATTTTTCTTGCAATAACAATTTGTGCAGGTGTAACTGCTGGTAACTTCACCCATGGTCTTCCTGGTTCATTGCAAACAAAATAGACATATTTGTTGGCACCTGTTCTGCTTTCTTCCTTTGGAGTAGCCTGTGGGGCCTTGGAAAAGGACCTCGGTAATTCACCTTCATCAGCTTCATTGTCTCCATTGTCCCTCTCTTCAGCTTCATCTTCCTCTTCCACCTCCTCTTCATCTTCTCCCTCACGGAATTCCACTTCAGCTACAATATAATTCATTTCCAGACCTAAGATCTTACCCCAGAAACGACATTTTTGGATTGGGTGGGTGTCAGTAAGCTGCTTGAGGGCAAGAAATATGCGATAAGTCTCATCTGTGCCCAAACCGACTCCAGCTTGTTCAAAATAAAAAGCCGACTCCATTACATTTGGAAGAGAGTGTTCTGCCTGGGAATACAATTGCTGTGATTAATATTTTATCCATAAGAGAACTGTTTGCAGTCTACATTAATGTGATCCCTATTTTTTTAAAAACCATGACATTTTTCACAGAACTAGAACAATTAATTCCAAAATTTATATGGAACTACAGAAGACCCAGAATTGCCAAAGCAATCTGAGGAAAAAACAAAGCTGGAGGTATAACCCTCCCAGACTTCAGACAATATTACAATGCTATAGTAATCAAATCAGCATGGTTTTGGCACAAAAGCAGACATATAGATCAATGGGACAGAATAGAGAGCCCAGAAATAAACCCACACACCCATGGCCAATTAATCCACGACAAAGGAGATAAGAATATACAATGGGGAAAAGACAGTCTCTTCAGCAAGTGGTATTGGGAAAGCTGGACAGCTACATATAAATCAATGAAATTAGTACACTCCCTCACACCATATACAAAAATAAACTGAAAATGGCTTAAAGAGCTGAATATAAGTCACAACACCATAAAACTCCTAGAAAAGAACATAGGCAAATCATTCTTGGACATAAATCATAGCAATATTTTCTTAGATCAGTCTCCCAAGGCAAAAGAAATAAAAGCAAAAATAAACAAATGGGACCTAATCAAACTTACAAGCTTTCGCATAGCAAAAGAAAATATTAACAAAACAAAAAGACAACCTAGGGAATGGGAGAAAATATTTGCAAATGATGCTGCCGACAAGGGGTCAATATCCAAAACATACAAACAATTTATACAACTCAATATCAAAAATCAAACAACCCAATCAGAAAATGGGCAGAAGACCTAAATAGACATTTCTCCAAAGAAGATATACAGATGGCCAACAGGCACATGAAAAGATGCTCAAAATCACTAATTATTAGAGACTACAAATCAAAACCACAATAGGTATCACCTCACGCTGGTCGGAATAGCTATCATCAAAAAATCTACAAGGAGAAAAGGAACTCTCCTACGCTGTTGGTGGGAATGTAAATTGGTGTAGCCACTAAGGAAAACAGTATGGAGGTTCCTTAAAAAATTTTAAATAGAACCACCATATGATCCAGCAGTTCCATGCCTGGGTATGTATCTGAAGAAAACAAAGACACTAACTGCAAAAGATACGTGCACCCTGATGTTTATAGCAGCACTATTTACAATAGCCAAGATATGGAAACAACCCAAGTTCCCATCAACAGACGACTGGTTTAAGAAGATGTGGTATGTGTATACAATGGAATGCTACCCAGCCATAAGAATGAACTATTGCCATTTGCAGCAACATGGATGGACCTCGAGAATATCATACTAAGTGAAGTAAGACAGGGGAAGACAAATATTATATATCACTTACATGTAGAATCTAAAAACTAATGTAAATGAATCTATATACAAAACAGAAACAGACTCACAGACACAGAAAACAAATTTATGGTTACCAAAGGGGAAAGGGAGGGGAGGGATAAATTAAGAGTATGGGATTAACAGATACAAACTATTATACATAAAATAGATAAGCAACAAGGATTTATTGTATAACACAGGGAACTATATTCAATATCTTGTAATAACCTATCATGGAAAAAAAAAGTCCAACATCCTCTCCTTATAAGAAATATTTAAGTGGCCCCTTTACTATCTTGAAATAATAAAATATAGCATACAGTAATATGTATAAAATAGACAACCAATAAGAACCTGCTGTAGTAAAAAATAAAATAAAATTCAAAAAACATTAAAAAATAAAAAAATTAAATGCCATATTTGCCAAATAAATAAATAAATATAGCAAAACCTACCTACAGATATTTAGAAAATAATTTTTATAAATATATGTTTTTATATATTATCATACATTTACTAAATATTTATAATATGGATATGGTAAGATATAGGGTAAATAAAAATCAATATGGGTGTAATATACAGGATAAATAAAAGGAATGCATAATAAGATAAATGCTCAGGCATGACTACATTTGAAGACATAATTTAGTTAGATGCTTGCTTCTACTTATGATAAATAATTTGATAAATAATTTAAAATGAGAAAAGCAGAAATAATTCCAAAAAAAATACAGGAAAATAAAAAGAGTCTCAAGTGAACTCTAGAAAAACATTTTTGAGAAAGTAGAAAATAACCTTAACTGAGCTAGGGATAACTTGGCAAGACAACCTTTAGATCCTGAGAAATTAAGAGCACTTTGCTATTCTTACAAATGATCTGCTCTTATTTGTATTATAACTTGAGTTGAAAAATAGAGTGTCAAAATAAGCATAATGACTTTTTTCAATCCTAATCTCATCTGATTGTAAGACTGTTTCTTTGGGATCTATTGCACCACGTGCTCTGATCCTACTCTGTCTTCTATAACTATTTCTTCTTAGTCTTTTTAATTAATTGAGGCCTAAATATTGGTGTCCTCAAAATTTCAGTCATCTCATCATTCAGCAGTTTATGCTTAGAAGATTTCTCCCACACCAACCCAAGTGATATGTGGTTTTAAAAATCTACTTCTCTCACTCTGACTCTCCTCTGACATTTCACACCCTTATTCCTAGCCAGCTACGAGAACCTTCAATCTGAATAATTTCCAAAGATATCACCATCACTCAGTTTCCCAAACTAGAAAGTTCAGTCATCCTTGCTCCCTCTGACTCCCTTGACTCTCATGTTTAGTTAAAGTCCTATTGATTCCACCACCTAAAAAGCTGTTGGCATTATCCCCTCCTCTTTAACATGCTAGTCTCCACCCGGACTACTCGTCCTGTCACAGAAGTCTTCTAATACTGTCTTCCTTGTCCCCATTCAAACCCTTCTTCTTTCATTCTGCTCCACATTACTACCAAAGTTATGTTCCTAAACCATAAGTCAGACCATGCTTTCTCTACTAAAAGCCTCTATGAATTTCCCACTGTACGCAAGAGATCAATTTCTTATCAACACACGGTGAGCAGTCTAGCTTTAAAGCACCTTGCTTGCTTCATTTCCTTCACTCAAAATCCCTCAAATCTGAAGTCAGTTTCCCAAATGCTAAATAATCTCTCTTGACATTTTATTGTGCTTTTGGCCCAGAATTTTATGCCTTATAGTCTTCACCTGGTGAACTTCTACTTATCCTTCATGATCCAAATGAAATATCACTGCCATTACAAAGCACTGCCCAGACCCTAATAGCAGAGTTAGTTGCTCATAGCTTGTCGAAACAATGCAGTAGTAACTGCTACTATTCATTAAGTTTCTAGGATGTGCCAGATCCTTTATATATAGGACCTCTACCCCTCAAGTTGTTGCCATGTGATTATCCCTGAGGCTTGGAAAGGTTTAGTCATTTAGAGTCACACAGGGAATAAGTGATTGAACTAGGATTCAAATTCAGATTTAATTCAAAAGCCCCTGTTCTTTCCACCATATCACTATTACTGCAGTAGTCAAATAACTTTAATCTTTTTTTACCTCTTTCACTAGACTGTGACCAACATAAAGTTAGAAAAGTCTTTTTTATGTGTATATCTCAGTACCTAGCATGCAGTAGGTATGTTTGCAAATCAATGGGTGAATTCAGGAATAAATGAATGCTGAAGACTAAGAACAGGAATTCTGGTGTGGTCAAAGACATGAATAGAAATATTAATACTCTAAACATATCATTCTGGGACAGAGTTCCAAGAGCTACCTGTCTTCCTGTTCCTGAATCTTTCTACTCTCTGAGGTACAACTTTTGCGTACGCGGGCCTCTCTCACTGTTGTGGCCTCTCCCGTTGCGGAGCAACAGGCTCCGGACGCGCAGGCTCAGCGGCCATGGCTCACGGGCCCAGCCGCTCCGCGGCATGTGGGATCTTCTGGACCCGGGCACGAAGCCGTGTCCCCTGCATAGGCAGGCGGACTCTCAACCACTGTGCCACCAGGGAAGCCCTCTGAGGTAGAACTTTTTATCTTCATCTGATGACTTGGTTCATCCTTTCTCTAAAACCAATCCTACTCTTTATTAGGAGGAATTGATGGAATCTGGTTAAGAGGCTCAGGTTCCAGGATCAAAACAGCTTATCTGTATTCTCATCCCAAAACCTAGTTCAGAACGCAGATCCCTGCCTTGTAATACTGTGCCTATAGATAGTGCAGTGCCCTATTTTCATACTGGAGTCGAACCTTCTTTGATAAACTCCTGCATGAGAGTGCCTGCCTCTGTTTGATCCCCACATGCTGTTTGCCGCCAGACTTGTCAATACTATATATATGTGGCTACATAATCAAGTGTTTGGAGTAAGGTATTTTCAGAAAAGGTCAGCCAATATCAAATCCTTGACACCTATCACTTGTTCCTTCTGAGTATTCTATATCTCACTGTGTCAATTTGTGTCTCCCTATAACAGCTAAGGAGTTCTAGAGGGTAAACCTACGCCTCCTCTTTCTTTGACTGAACTCTATGTCCTTTTCTGAACATATGTTACTCCAAACATCAAATTTGCAAGTATGAGGACAGTTTTGAATAGTCTAGTAGTAACAGAACATAGAAGCTCAGTAGATGTACATTATAAATTACTCAGTAGAATAAATTGCAAATATGCAGGCATTTAGGAAACAGTAGCGCATACTGATTTGGAAGTAAAATTTCAGTAATACGGCTGATTTTATTCTCGAATGATACCTTTTTATCTCTGTCACCAACTTTGTAAATATTTTCAGCAATTTATCTATGGGGATTAAAAGAAATATTTTATTTCTCTCCTCTTCTGTCTCATTGACATAATATATATACTGTCAAGACACAATATGAAGAAGTAGCCTTGGAAGAGAAGCAAATGACATTAGAAGTTCTTTTAATTTTCCCAGTAAATTAAAGGGGAAAATATGCAACTTGATTTAAAGCCTAATTTTAAATTATGTGACATTTATTCATTCACTCAGCAAATATTTAATAAGAAACAGCTACACACTCAGATCTGTACCAGGTACTTTGGAGAATATAAAAGAGGAAGAAAACATTTTTTCTGATATCAAGCAGTTTAACCCTACAAACATATAAAACAGCTAAGCCTCTGAAATACTAAAACACTGTGTGAAAACATAAGAAACTCTAACCAAGGAAATGAGTGGTGTGAAATGAGGCCGCAATACTATTTAGTAAGCTATAAAAGGCAGTGGATATGAATTTAAAGCCACACCCCACTAACCTCAAAACCCTAAGGTTGATCTATTCAGATTTATAGGAGTGACTTACTATTTCATCTTCCATTTCTTGGTCAGCTCCTTCTGAATTTCCCTGGAGAAAAAGAGCTTTTTGCTTCTCTGCTGTTTCATAGGCTGGAAGCATCTCATTCTCATTTTGGAGCGTATCCAGTTTTATACTAAAGTGTTCCATCTTCACATCTTGGCTAACATTTTCAATGATGTCCACAGCATTTTCAGGACGCTTATCTAAGACCTTGGTCAGCATTTCAGAAAGATGATCATATCTACCCAAAAAGAGAAAATTCCAGATAATAACCCTGTCAAAAGCATTTGAAAAATATTTCATGCATTCTCAGTGGGTTTTTAGGAAACTTCAAGAACTCGAAGACTTTAGAGATTTTTAGTGGAAAAACACAGTAACTTCTACCACTGCCAAGAAAAGCTTTGAGAATAAAATAAATCAAAGCAAGTTCTCTATGGTTTTTTTTTTTTTTTTTTTTTTTTGGCAGTGCTGCGTGGCTTATGGGATCTTAACTTCCTGACCAGGGATTGAACCCGCACACCCTGCATTGGAAGGCGAAGTCTTAACCATTGGACCGCCAGGTTAGTTTTTTATTTTTTCTTTAATATCTGTATCTATCTAACAGATCTTAAGAATGTCAAAGAAGGGCTTCCCTGGTGGCGCAGTGGTTGAGCGTCCGCTTGCCGATGCAGGGAACGCGGGTTCATGCCCCGGTCCAGGAGGATCCCGCATGCCGCGCAGCGGCCGGGCCCGTGAGCCGTGGCCGCTGGGCCCGCGCGTCCGGAGCCTGTGCTCCGCAATGGGAGAGGCCGCAACAGTGAGAGGCCCGCGTACCGCAAAAAAAAAAGAATGTCAAAGAAAAATATGTAGATTATATGGGCAACCAATGTGAAGGCCAGTTTACAAATATTATATATGAAGAATATCATATTCTTTCTCAAAATATTGCTATTTTTATAAATGAACAGAAATATTATGACTGGCAAAAAAGAAGCAAGCAATTATTTTCTGTAGGCTTTTTATTCAACAATGTGAAATTTTGTATTTTAGGCAAATATTGTTTTAATTGCAACGACAACAAAAAAACAGCTTTCATGGCTGTCATAGGTCTGCGTATAGGAGATGGAGTTAAAGTTGTCCTTTACTAAAAGCCATTTTTAACTACAGGCTCTGAAGCACTTAGAAAATAATAGTGAATATTATGGAAGGTAGTCATTTGTTACCTCAGAGACTTAATATTTGGAAATTAAATTAAATTTAGCTATTTAAGTAATGTCAGTTACAAAATCATTCAGCAAACAAAATTTTCCCGTTTTTTGTTTTGTATTCAGTTTTAAATTGTGAACTTTCAAGTGTTTATAATGAGCTCTTTTGGCATTTTATCAAAGTTCGTAAATTCATGCTTGTTATTTAACCCAGGGAATTGTGACAAGAAGTTTATATCAGTAATTCAAATAGAATCCACTGCTAAGCAGCAAATCACATCCCTGAAACATAAGTAAATTGTAGTTAAAAACAGTAATTTATAAATAATATTTTAATTTGGGTTTTGTGAAGATTTCTCACATCAAATATTCATTGGTTTCTTATTCTTCAGACTTTAAAATTATACCTCATATTTTTAAAAGCCAAGTAATAGCTACAAACATTTGCCACATACTGTATATTGAATGGGCATTCATTTAATGTTTGCTGATTAATCAGGAGGCATCTCAGCAAATTACGTGGTGGATTAACTAGATTCAAAAGGTCCAGGCTGTATTTCCTGTACTTCCATTCATTAATTCATTCTTTATTCAGTAAATAGCTGATAGCACTGTGCTAGGCATTAAGTATATAGTGGTGTACAAAACTCACATGGCCCCTGAACTCTGAAGGCCTGCACTTAAGTGGGAGAGTCAGACATTAAATATAAGTCTGTAAGTCTATGTACAATTATAAATGGCCTTACGTGCTATGAAGGAAAGAACAGGCAGTTATAATAGAGTTCTGTGGAAGTTGACTTCTAAAAGATGAGAAGCCAGCCAGGCAAAGACTTAGAAAGACTTAGGGCAGAAGCCTTTCAGGCACAGGGAGCAGCGTGGGAACTGAAGAGGCCATGTGGCTAAAGCATAGTGAGGGAAAGGTAAGAGTCAGTGAGTGCTGTAAGCCAGAGAAATCTTGAGCAAATTAATTTTTCCATGACTCAGTTCCCTCACTTAAAAAACAAGTGGATTGTATTAGATGTTTTCTCAAGTCCCTTCTAGCTCTAAAATTCTGTTGACTCTATTGTTATGTAACCCTGGCAGCAAGAATCTCTAGAAATCTATACTCAACGATAAGATCTGAATTTTAGCTATAATGGGATGGTCAGAACATTCCTGGGCCATTGATCACCACATTTTAAGAGATCTGGATTAAAAGGCATGTATTTTTGAGTAGCCTGTATAGTGACCAATTCTCCTGGTTTGCCTAGGACTGAGAGGTTTCTCAGGATGCAGAACTTTCAGTGCTCAATCAGGACAGTTCCAGGTTAACGCAGGTAATTTATCACCCTAGCACTGGCCTGGGTGGGGACTCAAAACCAAGCCATATAAGCACTTAGAATGCTTAGATTTTGGTAGACAGTCCTTTTTTACAAGCATCTTGGAGAGATGCTTGGACTTCACTGTCTTTATGGTTTCTTTCAAACCCCAGACTCCACAATTCCTAGATTTTATTTCTGTGCACCTAGGGTCTTTAAAGAAGCTAGAAGAATTTCCTTTGAGTCCTATGATACAAGGACTTATTAAGTCACTCTCTCAGTCATACAGACTTTTCAGATATATTTCCATTCACCCTCAGAAACACATCCCCACACAGAGATACTTTCCTTTGCCAAATTTCTCCCCCCAACCCCCTTCCTCCAAGACTTACAGATTTAAGCCCGACTTGCTACTGGACTTTAGTAGGTAAGCCTTAGCATTCTGAATGGCAATCTCAAGCATGCTGGGGGCCACTTCAGAAGCCCCAGACTCAGGCTGATCCAGATCATAGTTACTGTTTGAGTCTTCTTCTTGAAAAATGTCAAATCTCAGCTCTTTCCGTTTAGAGCTGTTGTAGCTCACATCCCTCGGTCCATACAGGTGACATTTGGTTTGCTGAGATTGATGAAAAGTGTTTCCCTCTGATTGGCATGTTTGATGAGGAGTTGATTCTCCTTTAACAGATGATTGTTCCAAATGGTCAAAGTGAGGTGTCCCAGCTTCAGAAATCACACTAGTGGTCTTGTCTGACTGCCATGGTGCCATAAGGTCCTGCACGGCCAGAGCCAGGGGAGGAGTGGAAGAGGGCTCTTGAGATGGGGAAGGTGGAGATGACACACCTGGTCCTACGAGGTCATCCACAGGCGTGCTGGCTCCAGATTGGGGGATCCCAGGAGGGCTGCTCCTGGGCTGGGGTCCAGTTTCCAGCCCCTGCTCCGACTCTGAGGCCTCGGATAACCCAGGTTCAGGATCTTGGGAGGCTGTTACCATTTCTTCCCACGGCCTCCCTGTTTCCCCAAGTTCTTGGTGTTCTATTTTTTGTTTCAGGGGGGTCGAGTCTTCCATGGAAGGAGTCAAGAGAAAAAAAGTTCTGGATGAAGGGGGCGTTCAGATATGGAAGGAGGCAACGCAAGGCAGTGGCTTGGCTTAGGTCTGCTAGGCGATTTCTGGGTCCTAGTTACTCTGCAAGTCGCAGCGTCCTATCTCCATAGCAACCCCGGGCAGGGTTCCCCTAAGAGAAATAACACACATCTGTTGCCAGGATTCTAGGGAGGAGACCAAGAAAGATGAACATCTTAGATCTGTGATTTGGTGGAGCCTCTGCTCCTCTACCTAGCTCAGCCAATCCAATCTGCAGTCCATCAGTCGCGGTTGGAAGCCTGAGAACTGGTCCGACGCAGAGAGGAGGAGCCGCGACCCGGCGGGATGATTTTCAGGGTCTGATAGTTTGATTCAGGTTGCACGTTGAGGAGTGAGTCCTGAATTAGTGGAGGGACAATACATTTACAGAGCACGTGTGTGTGTGTGTGTGTGTGTGTGTGTGAGAGAGAGAGAGAGAGCGAGAGAGAGAGCGAGAGAACGAGAACGAGAACGAGGGAGGGAGGGAGAGAGAGAGAAAGGAGGGATGGAGGGAAGGAGGGAGGGGGAGACCTTGGTAATGTTGAGGTGCAGGCGACAATGAGACTCTAGTGTGCAGAACATCAGAGTCCGAGACTCACTTAGAGGGCAAAGGTGTCTCATCTGTGCCAACCAAACTTGGGCAACTTTTGAACAATAAACAAGGAAGCCCTGATTTTTCGTCTTCTCCCTCATGTGGAATCTGCCGGATGAGTAGGCAGAAAATTACCTTCAAGGAGAAGGCAGTGCAGAAGCTTACCCTATATAAATAGACAATTCATGGGTTACCTGTTTCCTAATAATTGAAATTCAAATTAACCTTAAAGCTATATTAGTATAGTGTAAACTTTATTTGATAATATGAACGTGAATTCATAATTTTGCAATATTTAAGATCATGACTATTAATTCATATTATTCCATCTCCAACATAAAGAAGGTATAGAGGATGGAACCATATCTGGCCTTGACTAAAAACTGTAAATTAAAGTCTTTTTTTTTTAAGATTATAATTTAAAAACATTTTTTTTGGCCACGTGGCTTGTGGGGTTTTTAGCTCCCTGACCATGGGCAGTGACAGCAGAAGAGTTCTAACCACTGGACCACCAAGGAATTCCCTAATTAAAGTCTTTAATGTTAATTTGTTCTGTATCTCTCTCTCTTTTAAAATAAACCAATTAATACTTGATATAACTTCCAATTAGCAACATGTTGGTCATAAATTCTAATTTCATGAAAGAGCACCATACTTACCTCCAACCCCCAAGTTGGTGGGAGAAGCACAGAACTCTTCAATCATTTGTTCAAAGCTGTGGATATTTACCCTTCCCAAAATACACATGGGTTTGCACACACCAAATGTTGCATGTAATTTCTTCTGGTTCAGGGACTCCTTGAAATCAGAGTCCCAGATTAGAACTCTTGGAATAAGACTAGGAAAAACAAAATGAAAGCTAAACTGGAATTATAAATTGGAGATTTTTTGTAATTAATACAAGGGTTGAAGGGGGGATAGCATTTTTTCCCCATCATAGTTCTATTTTCTCCACCCTTGAAGCTGACAAGATATGATGGAGGCTTTTTTCTTGGACTGACAAGCCAGAGCAGGGTGGTAGGACCAGAAGAAAGGCATGATAAGGAACAGTTTTTTGCATCTATGTTCATGAGAGAGCTTAGTTTGTAGTTTTCTTTTCTGCAATGTCTTTGTCTGGTTTTGTTATTAGAGCAATTCTGGCTTCATAGAATGAAGTAGGAAGTATTTCCCCTGTTTCTATTTTCTGGAAGAGATTGTAGAGAATTGATCAAATTCACCTGTGAACCCATCTGGGCCTGTTTTCAAAGATTATTAATTATTGATTCAATTTCCTCATATATATGCCTGTATATGTGTGTGTGTGTGTGTTGGCAGACTGTTTTTCAAGGAATTGTTCCATTTTATCTAGGTTATCAAATTTACGAGCATAGACTTGTTCATAATATCTTGTATTATCCTTTTAATGTCCATGGGATCTCTAGTGATGTTACATCTTTTTTTTTTTTTTGCGGTATGCAGGCCTCTCACTGTTGTGGCCTCTCCCGTTGCGGAGCACAGGCTCCGGGCGCACGGGCTCAGCGTCCATGGCTCACGGGCCCAGCCGCTCCGTGGCATGTGGGATCTTCCCAGACAGGGGCACGAACCCGTGTCCCCTGCATCAGCAGACGGACTCTCAACCACTGCGCCACCAGGGAAGCCCTAGTGATGTTACATCTTTAATTTTCGATTTAGTAATTGCATCTTCTCTCCTTTTATTCTTTTTCTTAGCCTGGCTAGAGGCTTATTAATTGACTGACTTTTTCATAGAAACAGCTTTTGGTTTTGGTGATTTTCTGTTTTCAATTTCATTAATTTCTGCTCTAATTTATATTATTTCCTTCTTTAGCTTACTTTGGATTTAATTTGCTCTTTTTTCTCTAGTGCGCTGAGGTGGAAGCTTAGACAATTGAAGCTTAGGTGATTTAGATCTTTCTTCTTTTCTGATATATGAATTCAATTCTATAAATTTTCCTCTAAGTATTGATTTTGCTGTATCCCACAAATTTTAAGTTACAATTTCATTTTCATTTATTTCAAAATATTTTGATATGTTTTCAGCTATTTTTCTGTTATTGATTTATAGTTTAATTCCATTGTGGTCTGAGAGCAGGCATTGTATGATTTTACTGTTTATTTTCTTTATCCTTTAAATTTGTTGAAGTGCTTTTATAGCCCAGAATGTGGTCTATCTTGGTGAATGTTCCATATGAGCAGAAAGTATATTCTGTTATTGTTGGCTGAAGTAGTCTATAGATGTCAATTACAGCCAGTTGATTGATGGTATTGTTGAGTTCAACTATGTACTTATTGATTTTCTCCTTGCTGGATCTGTCCATTCTGATAGAAATGTGTTGAAATCTCCAACTACAATAGTGGATTCATTTATTTATCCCTGCAGCTTTATCAGTATTTGCCTCATGTATTTTGACCCTCTGTTTTTAGGTGTGTAGCCGTTAATGATTGTTATGTCTTCTTGGAGAACTGATCCCTTATCATTATGTAATGACCTTCATTATCTCCGGTAACTTTCCTTGTTCTGAAGTTGCCTTTGTCTGAAATTAATATAGCCACCCCTAGTTTCTTTTAATGAGTGTTAGCATGGTGTATTTTTGCCCATCCATTTACTTTATTCTATATGTGTCTTTATATTTAAAGTGGGTTTCTTGTAGATAGCATGCTTCAAGACCCCACACTTGTATAGGCCCCTTGCCATGCCCTCTACTTAATTTTGAATTCATAAATTTGCATTCTTTTTCTTAAGAGACCCCCTCCAAATTATATAAGCTTTAGGCACCACAAAGCCTGGATCTGCCCTATTCCTGTATAGGAATCAAGAGGAAGCTCATACAAATAAAAAGTAACACTGTGTCCTGATTTAAATTAATAACTTTATAGATTAACAGTCTAGTTCTCTTGGGTGACCAGCTCTCTTATGTTAGCTTGAGGTGAATGGATGTAATTCATTTATGACTTAGTTAATTTTATGTGCAGTCTTCTATAGAACCCTATTTTACAGTGAGAAATTAACACTTTTGAAAACACATATGTGCTATGTTGTTGATATAGAATATTTTATTTGACCCCTACTGGAACCCCAAACTGTAGGAATTACAGTCCCCAACTCTATCTCAGAGTATTAAAGTAATTTGTCCAAGGTTATACAGCTGGAAAGTTTGCATCTGGGATTTTAAATGAGTTCTTTCTGACTCTAGAGCTCATGGGGCCTCCATACAACACAACTGTAGTGTTCTTTTTATTTTTCCTAAATTGATATTTGATTTTACCAAGATCATCCATAGAATCAAAGCTAGAGATAAGTGTGAGGGATAAGATACTCAGAAACTTTTCAAATAAATTACTTGGTAATAAGAAATTTAACATAATGTACTGCATTTTTCCATTTGCCACACGATAAAAGTATCGATGAGGACTATTTAAAAGAATTGTTCAGCTCTAAATAGGTGGTGGCAACAACATTTTCTTCTGCATAGTAACTTTTCACTTCCTCATACAATTAACATTGCTATTCCTCCTCATACACATCCAAGTGGAAAAATTTGTCATGGGCTTGTGCAAGGGCCAGAAAAATAAAAATAGAGCATGTCCTCTCCTAGCTTCCTGTTTGGCTAATTGTAAACTCAGTTAACATTTTGGGGATGGATTTATAAAATCCATGCAAAAATGCATAGTTTTGCCAAGCATTTGCAAAACAGCAGAATTCCTTAATCCTTAGGCATCAATTTCCACAGCATCTTCCAAATGCCTTAAACTCTGCTCACCCCCATCTGTGACTCTTCTGGCTGCGGCAGGGCCTAGTCATCACAGTCCGGAAAAGCACCATAGGAGTAGCCCTGGCAGCCTTGGTATGCTCTCTGTGCGATGATCGCGTGGTAAAATCTGGGGAGGAACACCAGGATGCCAACAGTCAGAACTGGAAAGGCTCGGTTGGCGCCAACTTGGCTGATGTAGCCTGCCAGCAGGAGGCAACCCGTAATAATGGGAAAAACACCAGTCAAAAACTGTAAGGAGGCGCAGGCAGTGGCCTTATAAGGAATGTTAGTAGGGCTTTTCTTGAACTTTGATATCTCAGGACACCTGGGCATTTTTTCGATGGAACTAGCTTCGGCAGGTAAAGTTTCCTTCTGACAGTTAATGTGTCCATCATCAGTGCTGGAGAGCTTTGAGTATTTCACTTTGCTGCTGGGGATCCCAGCAGACACGTTGGTGGGAGTGGGCACCATAACCAGAAGGGTGGGTGGGGAGCTTGCTCGCCGCCACACAGGGCGGAGGCGTCGAGGCCAGGGCGCCCACCCAACGGCCGCCTGACCATGCGGTGGGTTGCCTCAGCCTCTCTCCTTCATCTGTCTCCCCCTAA